ACTGGGAAAGTACTTTAGGGAAGTCAGTTTTTGATTTTCTTAGGAATTTTCTCAATATATTGGAAAACCAGAAGAAAACGGGAGAACGGGAAACTAGGTACATAAAACAAATATTATTAAAGAAAATATATATGTGATGATTTTATCACAATATGACATATATATTGTTAACAAAGCAATACTATCAACCGAACTTTGCTCAAAATCGTTTTTTCGTTAGTTTATCGTTTCGTACAGATATATGTTGTAGGCCATATGGAATATTAGTCTTTTTGGGAAAAACAGTAGGTTGTTTGGAAACATAATTAGTTCGCAAACGGGCTACTTCATTGCAAAGAGCCTAGTTTTTTTGCAAAAAGACTTAATTTTCCATATGACCTACGACATATACATTAAATTCTCCTCTATATCCTACCTCCACAACTTCTTATCTACAATATGTAAGATTTTCGATTGCAATATGTCTTAAGCTTCTCATATAAATACCTGTGCTAAGAAAGCTCTTAAGATGTTAGGTTTTATTAATCGAGATACAGCTGCTTTCAATAATATTATTACATTAAACATTTTTTTTTTTTTTTGTACTGTCTTGTTTAGATCTCATCTTGAGTTTTGGTTAACAGTCTGTATTTACGAGTATTAACCATTTTAATGATTTTGTTTTTACTTTATTATTTTATTAATTAGTTAAAATTATACCTAGATTTAAATAAGTATTTAAAATGTAATTATTAATTATTGTAATAGACTCCTAACTCTTACTACAATCATAGTTTAGAGGGAGTAGGTATTAACGGGAAATTAAAAATTTAATGTAAATATTATATATATGTAAATGTAAATTGTATGTTTTATATTATTTATCAATCAATTAATCGAAAAAGTGATTCCTTTAATACTAACCAATATTAAAAGTATAAAGCATAATTATTCAAGTTAGAATTGTGACAATAAATAAAACAATAATTCAAATTCACGCGTGCACAATCAGATTATCTAATTTGAAAATAACAGTGATAATGATATGATAAGGGGAGCTGCGCGCGCGTTAACTAATTTGCCAAACTGCAGAGACGCTCGTATTCATTCCATTTATTGTATTCTTTTGTTATTTTTTGTATTTTTATTTTATCGATCTAATCATTTTATTTCTGAAATATAAAATATGGATTGGTATAATTATTATAGTAATTTTCATCGTAGAAATGTGTTACTTGTATATTTATCCACTTTACACACACAACAAAGGTAATATAATCTTTAAAAAATATACATATTTACAAAATAAAACATAACCTGGAATATTTCAATTTTAGTTTATTTTATGACAGGTTCAGTTTAAAAAGCTGTCCTATGATAATGTGGATGGGTATCACTGTTGTATGTGGGAAGTTGAAAATGTAGAATATAGAACAGACTTTAATGTATATTTGATTTATCTGATGTATTTGATATCTATTGTATTGAAAGACAATTATTACACAAGAATATTTTAATACTATTTTAGAATTAATGCTAAGAATTATGTTTTTGTTATATTTTTATGTTTATAAATGTATATGAAAAATAATCATACGGTTGATGCAAAAGTTATCTTCCTAATACTTATTTGCATTTGATATAAGGGTAATATAGGTATTTTATAAGTAAATGGTATAGGTACTAATAATATCAATAGTATATTGTGAAAATTATTAACAATTATTTGGTCCATAATTTAAAAAGACTTGGAATTGTATAAGATCATTTATCATTAATTTTTTTTTTTTAGTAAATGTAAATAGGTAGTATAATACTACCTATTATAATGTGTTTTATATATATTAACAATAACAAATGTTTAATCTCAATACTTATGTTAGCATTTCAAGCATTTTCATTTTAAACTTGTATTATTTTAATTTTAGTACTCCAATTAATTGACCAAGAACAGAGGTATTTGGTGCAGTTTAGATTCTCTGGACACATATTGCAAGTTTAATTTGATGGCATAATATACAGTAAATATTTTTTAGTCTAAAAATTAGAAAATTTCGAAACAAAGTTAGTTAAAAAAGTCTGAACATTGTATTTCAATTATAAATAATCATTCTGTCATGTCATTGACCACCCTTTTTATTTATTTTTTGTTACTATTAAGTTTTTATTATTTTAATATTTTTTAAACCATTTTTGTCATAGAAATTTGTTGTAATCATTTTATCATAATATGACATATATATTGTTGACAAAACAACACTATCAACTGAACTCTGCTCAGAATCGTTTTTTCATTAGCAATGGTTTATAGTTGTATACAGATATATATATAAAATACCCTCCCAACTTCCAACCTACAGCAATAACTGCATCCACATGTGAAGTATATCCATCTTTTTTATTTAATTTTTTTTTTATACTCATTAGGTTAGGTTAGGTCAGCTATCACTATTATTACTGAATAAATTATTTCATTTGGTATTATACAATAATATGTTGTTGAATATAAAACTTGATTTAAAAAAATATAGTGAAGGAAGACATTTCGGAGAGAGTTATGACCCACTAATGTAATCCTCTGTGTGTGCCACTGGTTTCAAGTCTTACAAAGACAAATTTGGAAATTAACTGTTCATTATGATATTATAGACTATGAATGATTGTAGCAGTAGTGTTTCTATGAAGAATTGTCTCGCTGTAAACATATTATGTAGTGAGTTAAGCAAATAATTATTATGGACATTATTTTTTATAATTCAAAATTATTATTATTTTGTATTTTAGCTATTGGAAAGTAATGTAACTAGTCAAGCATATTCCATTAAGCATGTTATTCGTTTGAGTGAGAAATTATATTCGCTGATCCAATTTGAAAGATAAAGTCATCACATTAATAACCTTCTTAGTTATGTATTCAGTTGACATACATAAGGAAATTTGATTTAAATAATTTAAATCTTCTAGTTGGTAATACATACTAATACTTAAAAAAATTATTTTGATACATAAAACATTGTAATAAAGTATAAATTCAGGGTTGATAATATATGTGTATATTAAAACATTTTAATTATTATATGTAAAAAATATATAAAACTATATTATAAGCCCTAAAAATTGTTTTTCTATTAAATGTATAATTTTTTCAATATTCATTAAGTACTACATTGATTTAAACTAAATCCATCAGTTTTGTTATGTAATGTAATGGATTTTAACATTAAATTTTTTTAGTATAAAAAAATGAACACAATTTAACAACCAGTTAATAAAATTAACTATTGGAATATTGTAAAAGATCAAACATTTTTTAATTGATTAATTTCTACTAAATATTAAATAATATATACACGCATATATATAATTATAAAAGTCAATCTAGTTTATTTAAAATATTATCAATTTGTAAATTATTATTTATAAATTTACTCATAAACATTATAATTTACTGTTTTTTATTTTGTATTTTAGCTGTTTGGAAGTTATTTAACCAGTTAAAATTTGACAAAGCATTTAAACTACTAGAATAAGAAATTGTTGTCATTGGATTCTATTGTCTGACATCAATGACCTACACTAAATTTCAAATTTCCACAAAAAAGTAAGACATTGTGCTTAAAACATCTCTCATGAGGTATTTATATAAAAAAAAAATTAACTTTTAAATTTGATTTAAACTATTTGTATTATTTTGTTGAAAATAATAAAACTAATCAGTGGCACAAGGATATACTTTATTTTTGGGGGGAAGGGGAGGGGTTGTATTCATTTGAAAAAAATTAAATTTCCAAAGGAATTTGGTGGGGAAGAGTGAGTAAGGTTAAGTTATATTAATGAGTCATATCTTTAAATTGTTCCACATTTATTCATAGATAATGCATATTGCAAAACAATATAGACTCACATTAAATATTTAAATATACTTAACTCCTAAGTCATAGTATAATAATAATAATTTACAGTCTAAGATTAATTCTTCAAGTAACATATACACAATGATACAACATTATGTTTCAAATTGGTATACAAATAAATACAACTATATACTAAATAGAATTCTTGAAAAACTCACAAACATATTTTTGGGAGTTTACAACCCCCAAAGCCTCCCCCCTAGTTGTGCCACTGAAACTGATACTCAATATAAATATTAATAATTTTTATTTTAACACTATAATATAAAAAATACAACTAATAATAACTTAACAGAGAAGTACCTACTATTTTAATGTATAAATGAATGTACACTAAGTAATATTAAATACTTTATGAACAGTTTATATTTTGTTTTCAATTATAATAATTTATATTTTTCCCCTAATAGTTTAGAAAATGATCAACAAAAATTGGTGCATAAAAGAAAATTCTACCAGTAACTAGTGGAATTTTATTCATCACTTAGTGAGTGTATTTATTTTAACTGTAATAAAGGCACACTGAATAATAATAAATGTACTTTATCTGTTAATTACGTGGTATTAAAATTGCATAATACCATGTACATGTATATGTATATATATATATATATATATAACTAAAATTTAATGATAAATGCAAAATAAAAACTTGGTAATTTAATTTTGCTAAATTTAATACACAAAATTCCATTTCATTTTGCACAGATTTCCGACTGTCAAATTAACATTAACTTAAATTTTTGTTTAATTAGTTTAATAGAATGTAATAAACAAGCTAATAAACATGTAATGGCTAACTGAATCTTATTTTGATTTTTATTATAAACTATTCACTGCATTATACCTATTTCATTATTAATTTAAATTATATTATTTTCGCTCATTAGCAAATGTTCAGTTTAAATTTATTGTTCCTCAACATTCAATTTTTATTGTACACTATTTGTTATATTATAAATATTACAAAAGACTTAGTAGTTTAGTAATTATTATCATTCAAACTCATAGTGCAATATTCTGGTCATTAGATTATTACATTTACTTACAACATAAAAAAACAAAAGTAATCCTTTTTCTTATAATGTTCAATTTTCTGTTCTTTAGGAAGACAATTCAGTGCCATCCAACAACAGCAGAATAAAAATGCCACCTATTGGACACCATTCATCTTCCATCTGAGGTGGTGTTTTCCAGAATGCCTATCACAGTAGAAACAAACTTCAGTTATGTCTTCAGAGTTCAACAATAGATGTCTTTTTAGTGAAGTTTTGTAATTATGAGGGTTGAATTCTACATCGAAATGTGATTTGCTCATAATTATAAACATGTAGTATAATATCAAAAATTCTACTGTTAAATAAATATCTTTGTTTTGGAACATTGACAAATGGACATTGAATACATTTTATTGTTGGAATTCTACCTTCAAAATTAGAATTTGATTAAATTTTTTTCTACATGGATTCAAACTTGATTTTTAAATAGCAATTTTCATTGTCATATGGTTAATAGGAATCCATGATGTAATACTCTTTTGTATACAAATTTATGAATACTATTATCTAATGATTTTCATTAATTAGCCATTATACAATATCCATACTGTTCTCCTTAAAAGTAATTGTCTTATCAAATCGTTATCTGACCTTTGTTTTAGCCATCAACAAATTCGCTGTATTAACTGTTAGAATATGTGTTGTCTATTATACCAAGCTGTCTAGCATATTGACATCAAAAACAAAGTTGTACAGATCATTGTTTTCTGTTAATGTGTTAAAAGCTGCAATGTCCAAGTTTATGGGGATATCTGAATTTATCTCGTTCCTTATGCAATCATGTGCCAACTATAGAGTACTTGTTACTATTTTTCCCTGGCCACTTTTCAAGTTTATAGTATGTTAAATCCTAAGGTAGGCCATTCTTATAATGATTTTCTGATCTTTCAGTTCAATTGAATGGAGATTTAAAACTACCAGTTGTTGAAGTCGATTTCTTTGTACCATTATCTGTATGGGACACACTTGAATCCATTTGAATTTCTATAATGCAACTTTCTTTACTATATATATGTTTGATGTATTCGTACATTCTGGCAAAATGTTTTTTTGATCTTCCTCATAACCAATAGATTTTTAAAACTTTAATGGTCAATACTTGGACAGTAATAGGCGTTTATTATNCACCCCTATACACTAATTTTTCTAAATTTTGTAAGTCATTTTTTTATGAGTGTAATGTTCCCTGGTAGATCTCAAAAATCTGCTACATTTCAGTCTGTGATCACTGTGTAACATGTTTATTTTAAAAGTTTTGAACCAAGATTCGACTGTAGTGTTACTCTTCTGATTTTAAACTCCATTATTAACTTTATTATTCACAATGGGTGTTCAAAGTAAAAAGAACAGTACACATTTCTATTAAGAGCATTTGCAATATTTGATTTTTGTCTGTATTTGGTATATTTAAAAAAATTTGTGTGCAAATGTAAATTACACAATGGTCCGACACATACATTTCCAAACTTTAAATCTACATAGTTATCTATAACATAATGAGTAATGTCATTGACTTTCTTTTTGAAACTCGTTCTTGAGCTTATGGACAAAACGATTTCAACATTGTTTTTTGTCTAAAATATAGTTTTAGACAAATATCTTACCTAACCTAACCAAAATTTAAAATAAAGTATAATTAAAAAATTAAAAAACCTAATTAATTACACAGATTAAAATAAAAAATAAAATAATGATTTGTATATAAAAACTTTCAAAAACTAAGTAATGTTGTTTTAAATGCTAATTTACTCAAAATAAAATAAAATAAATAATAATATTTATGTAAAAACTTTAAACACAGTAACTTTGTTTTAAATAATATGTATGTATATGGAATGGAAACCAGTCCATAAACTAAGAAATTTAAATAAAATTTTAAAAAAAACCTATAAGAAACTTTAAAATAATAATTATATAATAAATGTTTGTTTTTATTGTAGCCATTTTAGAGTTTAGAGTACTAACACAAATAACTTGTAATATTTAATTATTGTTCATAGAAATTGACAAAAAAATTCGGAATAATTTTGAATTCTGAGTGTAGCAAAGAATGTATTGGTTTTACTAAGATGTTTATTTATTATTTTTTTTTTTTTATACCATATACAAAAATTTGACTATAAATTTTGCTCAAAATTTGTTGTGCGAACTTTTCTACTGGAAATCATGTTCTCATGTATCAAGTGTAGCTTATTTTCTAAAAGGAAATTTTATCTCCATAGTTTAAGGGGGTCATTTTTGTGATTTTCAATAGGTTTTCATAATAACTGGGAACAACCGTGATAAAATAATGAATGTAAAATGTATGAAATGTAGGTGGTATTAGTAAAAAAATATTATGGCCTTTTTTTTTTGTATACAACTTTTCTACCATCAATTTTGATCTGATTTATAATGATAGCACTTTTTTTGAAAGTAAATCTGACTGGAAAGGTACCTTAGGGGGGTAATATTTTGATTTTTCCAAAAGTTTTCTTAGCAAATGTGTTAATCCGGGGAAAAAATATAGGAAAAACGGTAAAATCAATTTTCAAATTTGAATTTTGAATTTAAAAACATAGGAAAATTTGGTACAATATTAAACAAATATTATCAAAGAAAATATTCAATACCTTTTTAATTATTTTACCATAATATGACATGTATATTGTTGACAAAGCATTACTATCAACTGAACTGCACTTAAAATGGTTTTTCGTTAGCAATGGTTTAACATTGCTTACAGATTTAGTAAGATTTACATTAAATTACCTCTAACAGTGGCTGCACCCGTTTCCATTATCCTAAGATGTCTTTTATTAATATACCTATGAATATTGATTACTGATATAAAAAAATATGTGAAATCAACCACCACTACATAACAAATAGTTCTTGTAACTGCAACAAAGAAAAATATATAGTAGATACAAATATATACATAATATAATATAATATATAAATATATAATAGATCAGCACCACTGATTGTTCTTAAATAGATATTAATTATTTATTAACTTATGTTAACCCATACATACATGTATGTAAATATATAACATATTTTTATTAGATATATGCACAACTATAATTATACCTATAACTATCATATCTCTTTTGAAAATTAAAATGATGTGGATTAAAACAAATTTTAATAATACTACTTTGTTCTCAGTTTTGTATTGGTAATACCCAGTTAATGATAATTAAATACTAAAATAAAATTTGAAAAGCAAACATAAAAATATTCAAAATTGTAATTTGTATTATAATTATTAGTTTAATTTGTAATAATAAAATTATTCAATAAATAATAAATGTCAATTTGTCATATTTGCTAAAAGATACCTATTATTTGATATCATTAACTTTTAAAAGTATACCTACAATTATAAAATCAGAATGAAGTTGTTGTCAAAATGAGTTGATAAAATAGTTAACTTTTAAGATTCCTTGTCTAATAATAATTGCTGATAAGCTTGACACAAATCCAAAATACAAAATTTTGATGTTCCCTGTAATATAACCATTAAGTCACTCATTCTTGGAATCCGGTATTTATCTATCCACTTTAAGACATTTGTTCAAAGTTACCTTATAGTCCCCATATAAACAAATAGTGTCATCCCCTTTAACTTCTGGAACTACTGGAGTAGCTCAATCTGATATCTCAACAGAAATTAACAATTTCTCGTTAATAAGTCTATCGATTGCCTCACTCACTTTATCTTTTAAAGTAAAGGGTAAACCCTGGGTTTACAAAATACCGACTTAACATTATCGTTTAAGTATAACTTAAAAGTTTTTGGCTTAAAACAACCTAAAATGGTACTAAATACTGAAGAAAATTTCTCAAAAATACTATCATGATTATAAGATGTAAGTGAATAAACTTTATCTTTTAAGGGGTATTGACAATCTATCAATCTAATCCCTACAAACAATAGGCGAATCACTTATATGTATAATTTCAACGCTTGACAAGACACCACTAAGACACCAAAATCATCATTTAAATTACTATTATTTACTTGTTCTAATAAGTTAATATTATTTTATTTAATTTTACATACTTTTTTTAAGTGACCTACTTTGGAACAATTTTAACATACAAGTGATTTATACTTATAGTTTGATTTAGTATGATTAGCAATACTACAACAGTAACATACAATCTTGCCAGGCATACCCTTGTGGTTCGATGACTCCTTTTCCGCTTTCTGTTTAACTTTTTTTCAATTCTTCACTGGTTTGTCAATCTTAGTCTTCATAAATTTCTGATAGCTCAACTCTTAATTTCACCATTTCGGTACATCTTTATCTGCTGCTTCCATTGACAAACACAGCTCCACACTTTTTTTGAATATCAGCTTCATTTCAGACAACCAATGCATTTTAATATTAATGTCTTTAATACCGTATACTACTTGGTCTTTTAACGAGTCATCCAAGTTAATAAAATTCATAAAATTTCAAAAGTATTTTTAGAGGTGTAATAAACTGGTATATTGTTTCATCAGAACCTATTTTCCTTTCCTTGAATTTATATTACAGTACAGTACAGTCAACAAGTTTGATTTTGGAATAATATAATTTGACAACAACTCTTTTAATTAGTCATAACCTGTATAGTTAGGTTTACTAGGTATACACAGGTCTCTTATTAATGACTAGCCGTCATTACTCAAAAATGTAAGATACATCAATTTTTTCTTATGTGCGTTAATCTCATTAAATAATACAAATAATTCGAATCTTTCTATCCAAACACCAAAATCATCATCTTTAAAATTGAATTCTGAAATCGGACCAGTTAGCTCTATGTTACTGTTCCGGTTAGATCCCCTTATATCACCACTGTCGCTTGCAAACATTGTTTGACCTTTTCACAGACTTTTGCAATGTGACTTTCATAAAAAAAAAAAACATATTACTCACAAGGTTTTCACATCCCATCTTCGTTGCTAATGAACTGTATTGGGAAAACGTACAAGTTAACAACACGGAGGTTTAGATACGAATGAATTTTTATTGTACATTTTAAAGTTATTTAAGAAAATTATAACACATACATTACAATTTTCCCGATTTTCATGCATTTTTCTCGGTTTTTCACATTTTCTGGGAAAACTCTTTGGAAAATCGAACTTATTTAAAGTACCTTCCTAGAAAAAAGTTTTTTTCCGGAAACATTACTATCATAAAAAAATGGAACAAAATTAATGGTAGAAAAGTTGTCCACAGAAAAAAGAAATCGTAAATTATATTTATTATATTTCGTAAATTTTCCTGTTTTTTTTTCGGTTTTCGTATTTTATGAGGGAACTCTTGAGAAAATCGAAGAATAAGTTCCCACGCCAATTTCCTTTCAGAAAAGGTGCTACAAGCAGAAATCCTAAAAAGGCTTCTGGTAAGATGCGCACAGATAAAAAAAAAATAATAAAAAATAAACATCTTTGTAAAATCATAAGCTTCTTCGCTCCACTCATTATCTAAAATTAGATAGGTACTAGTTGTAAATATATTATTATAATTATGCCATTCCTAATTATTTAATAATTTCAATACAATGTTTCTAATATATAACTAGGTACCTAATAAAAGAAGATAGGTATAAATTTAAATTAAATCAGAAAAGATGGATATACTTCGCATAATGAGTGGATCACTGTTTCAGATAAGAATTTAAGAAGGTAAGATTTAGAGGGGAATTTAATGCATATCTGTATACGAAAATAAATCATTGGTAACAAAAAACGATTCTTAGTGGAGTTCGGTTAATAGTATTGGTTTTCGACAATATATATGTTTTATACAAATATTTTAGTAAAATAAATAATATAAACTTATATTATATTGAAATAATTTGTATAAACCAGTAACTAGATTTGTGCCACATCAAAAAAATTATTTAAATACAATATGAATAGAAGACAAACTACTTAAATAAAAGTTATAACCAGTAAAACCATTTAAAATGAAGAAATTACATGATTTTAATAATACTGTAATAATAATAATAATAATAATAAAACACTGTTAAAACTGTTAAAGGTAAGCATTTATAATTAAAAATGTAATATAATACTAATTAGAAAAACATGTCAATAATACCTATCTATATATGTGATATTAAAAATTTTAATAAATTAAAATAATATTATATTCGTACGGAAGCTTATTAACTGCGGAGTCATGAGCCAAAAACCACAGACTAAGATTTTTACTTATAAGATATTATAATCCCTATAAAAATATAGGTAATAAGTTATGATCAATAAGTAAATGCGTCCAGTTGTTGAATATTTTTAGACAGGATTTTCTGCCTTTTAATAATTAGCACAGAGTAATATTTCTATTTGCTTTACTAATTTATTTATTGATACTACCTCCATGGTTAAAAATACTTAAATATTTTTAATCGGCATTACCACTATACTTACGACAACACAAAAGTACACACTATAATCCTGTTCAATCCTTGCTCACAGTATTTTTTGTTTGTCTTTAATATAAAAGGTAGAAAATTATTGGTTCATCCCGACGTAGTAGTCAAAACAGTATTTAATTTTTAAGAAATAAGGTCTTGATCACTCAAGATAAAGACAAGGAAAGTAAGCAATCAATTTTAATTGATATGTACTATATGTGCGAAGAGCACTTAATACCTAAAATTGCAACTAGAAACGATATTTTGGGAAGAGTAACATTTAAAATTTTCAATCAAACGCCATGTGTTACCTAATCGCAATAGGCGTGCTTCGAGACGTGAGCTAGGTAAATATTACCAATATTTTTTTTTACAGTTCTTAAAATCGTGTAATTTCCTCATTTTAAACGGTTTTACTAGCTAAATAACTTTTATTTAGACATTTTGTTTTCTATTCATACTGCATCAAGGTAATTTTTTGAGATTTCCTAATAAGTGATCAAATATTGAAAAACTGGGAAGTTTAAGTTTTTGATTTTCCCAGGAGTTTCCGTAATAAATGGAAAAATCAAGAAAAGACGTAGGGGAAAATGGGAAAATTTACAAAATATATTATTTTCAAATCATACATATTACGGCTTTTCAAAATATGTACAACCGGACTTCGTTAAGATTCGTTTTTCGTTAGCAAAGATTAATACATCTATACTCAACGATTACGTTGAGTACAGATATACATTAAATTCCTCTCTAAATCCTACATTCTCAACTTCTCATCTACAACAGTGGCCCACCTATCGTGCGAAGTATATCCGTATCTTTTTTAGTTTCTTATTTTTTTTGCAGACATCAAATTGTCCCAACGTACAAACGGTCCATTTGACCTAGATCGTATATTGATATATAATATATATATTTATTTTGTATTTTGAAAATAACTTTGTATAGCTTAGGTATAAGATAAACGATTACAAACCTAATAAAATTAATTATCAAAATACTATAACAGTCATATTAATCGAAAATAGTGAGACAATAAACGTAAATAGTACATTTGTTATTAACATACAATTTTACTATTTATATATAGAAGAATACAGACAACTAAAGTATGAATATATAAAAACAATGTTCACTCAATACGCATGTAGTTATGTGCATTGTGCATACCTAACTTTTAAGTAGTTTATCAATTTAAATATTTGTTTCATAACTTAGGTCTATTATAATGATATTATACTTTATTTAATTTAAATATATATATATATAAAAAAACGCACGTAATATCGATTAACAGCGCCTCGATGCCTCCGCTGCCGCTAGCCGTAGTATAATATAGTTGCGCGCGCGCATCAGTAACCATTGTGTTTGGTGCTCCAATGAGACGCTCGTGAATTGACCTCCTAAACGTACCATCGGTTCCGTCATTTATTGATTGCTCTCCACACCCTAATAGTGTATACTGTGTACGTTCAGCTTTTATTTCATCTTAGTTCCATAATAATCGAGTGTTGATCATCGCTAAAGACGACGTGACAACGAAAATATCGTGAGTAATACCTATACGTTTCTTTTTTATAAATTAAGTATTACAGGTACCTATTATAAGCGCGTGGAATGGAAGTGGTTCTCTAAAAGTTCTCCCTCAATATTTCCTGCAACACACCGGGGAAAAAAAACCACGCAGAAAAGGATAAAATGCCTACCAATCTATGGGTGGAAGATATACTGAGTGGACTATATACGTTAAGTGTTCATCGTGAATGAGTTAATTCTTGAGAAAGAAAAATTAATTGAAATAACACTTACATAATCTGACAAAAAATGTTTGCGTAGAATATAATTTATACTTAATGAAAAATAATACAGTAATTACAGTGTCAGTCTCAGGAGTTTTCTCAATATATTGGAAAAACTGGAAAAAAAGGGAAAATTTACGAATGTAAGATAAAATATTACAGCCTTTTTTTTCCTGTGAACAACTTTTGTAACAGCAATTTTGCTCCGATTTACAATGATAGCACTTTTTCTGAAAGAAAATTTGACTTGGGAGGTATACATAAACATATTATTGTATTATACGCATCATAACAATTATAAACATTTTTTGCTTTATTCAGTCTGATCGATGATAATCAATGCGAATACTGGAAACAGATTATATAATTCAGCGTTAAGTGTAGATACATGAGATGGTACACGCCACTTTTTTTTCAATTTTATGTTTAGTTATTTTATAAATATTTGCATAGATTTTCAAAACAAATAGGTACACTTGACACTGAATTAAATTTTTTTTTTTAGAATTGTTATTATTTTACCAAAACGATCTGTCTGACTGAAAAAAAAGTGACTTAATTTGTCTAAATTTCAACCTTGCCGGTATCCCACGGTGTGTGGCGATTAGTTCTATGAGTACTGCTCTAAATTACCCGAAGCGCGTTGCGAGGGTTTAGTATCACAAGTGTTACGTGCCCACACGCTAATATAAATATACGCGCGTGAACCCGTAGTAATTATTCAAAAGGGAAACACAACCAAAACCGAGAGCTAAGACTCTTATGTACCAAAGGCGCGGATAGGCATAAAACAACCGCCGTAATGCTAACATAATCCAATAATATAAAAATATTAAATAATACGGAAATGTACCATATACAAAACAATAAATATAGCCGCGACGCGACGGGGACAGTGACGGCGCCAATACTTAGATTATAGGAAGTATAAAAAATTGGCACTATCAAAATAATGTAGACAGCCATACTATGAATGACGGGTTGCGGAGGTTCCTCAGAGCATATATTACGCCGCCCGAAACAACTTCGAAGCAACTTCGCGACACTCTGTTTTATGAAATAATTTTGGACTTGTAATACTTTTGTGTGTGAAATTAAATTGGAATTATTTTTCGATGTTTGTGATTTGGACTTGGAAAATATTAATTATTTAAACTCAAGTTGGAGTTTGTTTTATTTCAAACATTTTTTCTCCAAGTCCTATTCTTATGTTGGGCCCGTTACACAAGTCATGCTAAATTTCCTTTGGCAAAAAAAATCGATAACCACCGGGAACGGCCGCGCTAGTATTGTATGCGAATACGGTAAGGTAAGCCACACCTCACCACTCCCACGGCGCGTTTGTTTAGCCTCGCTATATCACACACTGCGCGCCGCACTATGCGCCGAAGACAAAAAGAGAAAATATTGATTTCCAACCCTCTTTACGAGTCACTAGGTTACCCAAACAGTAACACGATGTCATCACCTACTGCTACAAAGTTTCGGGAAAATAATATACTAACTTAGGTACTATTTTACAATTATAACGAAACGAGTTTAATTATTCAAGGCATTGTGTTTGAATTGTATTAAATATATATATTACCTAAAATTATTAATTATACATAATACATACAGCTAGGTAGTATTTTATTTGAACTGGATGACGTGGTGACCGTGTTTGCTGCAACAAGTATCTAATTATTATTATTATAAATATTATTACTATTATAATTATTATTATTATTATTATTATTATTATTATTATTACTATATTTTTTTTAATACCTACTGATGTGTTACTATACTTAACGAAGAATGGATACATTTTGTTCTGCCTTTTCTACCTTTTTCTTGTATAAGATCTTTCGTGAAAGAAAATCGTATATAATTGGTGCAGTGGGCAGGTTATTTTACAATTTCCCTTGTAATTTTATAATGATTTTAAATAAAATTCAGATTAATTTTTGAATAACTTGAATATATTCAGTTCTATATTTTCGGACACATTAACTTAATGTCAAGTTTATTTTCACTGTTTATCAGTCTTTAAAAAGATCTTAAAAATTAAAAAAATTACTGCCCACTATGACAATATAACTTGACTTATCATAAGATAATTAATTAAAATATTATGGTAGGATTTCGTTATCCATCATGCACAACAAAGCTAAAGTAATTTTATGTTTGTATAACATAATTTACCTCTTTTTTACGATGTAGGCACTTAGATAAACAATTCATCATTTTAATGTTTTATAGAAATCTATTTTAACTACATAACATATATATTAATATAGGTACTTACATCGACTAAAAATGTCAAAACCCAAGAATGTTGATGGTCAGCGTTCAAATTCTGGAAATTATCCAGATGATTGTTTTCTTCGTTTGGTCACTATGATCATAGGGACCTCAGCAAAAACTAACGTCGAAGCAGGTAGTTATACAGTTTATTTTAATAAAGCTATTGTTATTTTCGATTTATTTATTTATTTTTAAATCCAAGAAATTGGTAAATAAGTTACATTAATTAAATATTTTCTTAATTTATTATATTCTAAATAAAACAAAAACCGGTGTTTTTGCCTACGACTGAATATCATTTAAAATCAGATAAAATGTATTATTCAGTTTATTAATTAGGTACTCGTGGAAAACAAATATTAATTTTACTATGATAGATAAAATAAGGATTTTTGCTGCCTGTATTTTTTATTCTTTAAAAATAATTCTATTAGTCTCAGGTGGTGCGGTTGAAGGATTACCAGCATTGCCAGCAGGCGTAAGGCAACGAAGTACGGCCGATTTGTATTTTGTTCCCGAATTAATGAATTTGGTTGGACTTTCTTATGCTATGAGGTAATTAAGATTTTATTTTAAAGACGTGTTTATCCTTGTATCTTAATTAAAAGCTGAACGTTATATTATTATAATATTAGAATAGCTTGGTTGTTATACAAATTAAACCAAGTATAATGTATAATTTTTTAAAATGTTTTTATAATAATTGTTATTTCCCTTGTAAGTCAGTTTATAGACGAAACATTCGCTTTATAATGTTAATTTGAAAATAATAAAAATTGCTTATAATAGAGTTCAAATTATATTACCTATGTGATTGATTTAATTTTAAAACAAATTTGAACTTTAAACATTAATAATTTCATCAAATATTCATTTTTAAATAGTATTTCACATGAAATATAAAGTTCATTAATTATTTTTTACATTTCATAAACAACTTCAATTTATAATTAAACTGTTATTTTAAATCATCTTGATAATAGGTAATTTAGTATTCAAATCTAGTGTCTAACAATTTAAAAAAGTCAAGTTCAAAATTTACAGATCACAGATCAAGCTAAAAGTGTTGAAAGAACTTCTTTTACAATCTGAGGTATAATAAAATATTTTTTATTTTAATAAATTATTAATAAAATATGTTGTACTATTATTAGTGTCTTGAAAAAATGATACATATGCAAATACAATTACTTGGTACAACAAATTCAGGTCATGTTGTACTTCCTTATATTTTCGGGTACATATTACCACCAGTAACTTTACGTTTTCGACGTGGTGAGTGTGACGGAGGATCGCAGGCGAACTGGAATGGCAAAATTGAACGTTATCATATGTTTTCTTGTGTTTCGATAAAATGTTGGGTTGTGTTAACTACGAACAAACACTTAGAAATAACAAAGGTATTCGTTGTGGATTTTATGGAAACAGCGCATGCAATCGGATTGCATCTACCTGCAGTGCCGAATATGTTAGTGCTTACTTAATTCTGAAAACTAATTTTATTATTTAATATAGTACCTACAAACAAAATTACTCACTATTCGAATTTTTATTTTCATTTAGAATACCGATCGATGGTAAAAATGCATATTCATATCTACACGCTTTGGATAAAATAGTTAATGAAATCGATCCACCAATTATAATAGTTATAATGGAAAAGTTCGATTTCGATGTTTACGCATCAATAAAAAGGAAATTATGCATTGATCTGGGAGGTAATAATTATTAACAAACATGATTATTAGTTATAAATCCATACAAATAAAGCATTATATTTTTTTTTTTTCGTATATTTTTAACGTACACTTTTATGGTTTATCGAAATTTACTGTAAATTGATTCATTTCATAGGGTTACTCTGATTACACTTTATAAGTGTTTAAGAACAGTACAAATAAGAATAAAATTATAATATATTGCTCTATACATAGGCTTCAATATCTGTTGCGAGTTCATTAAATATCAGAGCTGTTAAAACACATTGTGTTTCTCATACAAATTGTGTTAAATGGTTATAGATTTTTAGTGGAGCAAGGAATGCATTGGCTTTACTATGACTTTTTTTTTTTAATATTCTAAGCGTAGTGAAGACTGTATTGATTTAATTATAGTGTATGATTTTAATGAATAAAATCTGACTGGGATGGTACTATAAGAGGTCATTTTTTGATTTCCTGGGAAATTTTCCCAATAAATGGGGGAAAATATAGGAAAAACGGCGAAGTAGGTAAAATAACAAATATATAATGGCTATTTAATTATTTTACCTTAATATGACTTATATATATTGTTGACAAAGCATCACTATCAATTAAACTCCTCTCAGAATCGTTTTTCATTAGCAATGGTTAATCGTTGCGTATATATATACATTATTTTTCCCTTTTACCTTTTCAACTTTTCACCTATAATAATGACTGTACCTATTCTAGGATAGCTTTTTTTAAATTACTTGCATGTTTTAACCATATTTTATATCTAGTGTTTTATATAGCTATCAAACGTTCAATTGATTTTTGTACTATTTTCAGTTGTTTCTAAAATGGTTTCATTAAAAACTTTAAAAACTGAAAAAGCTTCTCCACTTGTCAAACTCGCTGTTCAATTAAATACTAAACTCGGAGGAATGCCTTGGATGGTGCAAATTCCTACAAAGGTATTGTTGATCGTAACCAATCCAATATAAAATATATTTTGATATCTAATACTTTTTATGTACAGATTAAATAGTTAAATGAAATATTTTTCAGGGAATAATTATTGTTTGTATAAGTACATACCGTGAAACTAGTGATAACAATACAGCATATGGGACTTTAATAGCTTCACTTGATGACACATACACAAGATACTATAACTTTATTGAATCGTATGACAATGTGAATAACATGACAAATTGTTTTGCAGACAATTTAATCAGTAAGTATCATATATTTAATCAGTTTGTTCTCTAAAGATAAGGGTTCTATTCGATGTAGCAAGCAAAAGTAAATTGAATTAATTCTTTATTAAGAATACTTACATTTCTAGATTAATTGTATTCATAAAATAATATATTCGGATTTTTTATTAAGCAGTTTACATAGTGGATTTATTTCAAAAATGAATTAGGTTTCCATGTCCTATAATCTATGTAAGTTTATTCATTTCATTTAGGTTACTGTTATTCATATATCATTATCATTGTTCATGAATTTTAATCAAAATTTGATTAATCTATTTCTAATAACTGAATTGATGTTATATATTTGTAATACAATAATGCACTAATAAGTTTTTTTTATAACTCACCCATACCAGTAAATCTTTAATTCCGATTATTATTAACTGCAGTAGGTACATTAAACCACAGCATAGGAGTGCGTAGGCCACTTTTTCAGGGTATGCAGAAGGCTGACACTAACGCCTCTGAATGTTATATTAAGCTCATAAAACTCTGATAAAAAATATATACACAAATATTAAAGTGCCTTACAAACTGTTTAATTGAAAATATAATTTTTACTTAAAATTCAAATTGAATTACAACATAAAACGTACATATTTTCCAAATATTTGATTTAACTCATAATATTGTTTTTGAGGACATCGGGGACGTAGCTCCTTATTCTCCCTCTTAATCCGGGCCTAGAGTTCAGGGTATGCAGAAGCAAACTCTGCATATCCCCTGCGCACGGCTATGAACCACAGAGTATATATCAAATTCACCGTTTAGAAATCGTATACATGGACTTGGTGAACAGACCTGTATAAATTATAATCTTGTTTTAGTAGAATAAAAAGCGAAAAGTAAAAGTAAAATACAGTGGTAGGTAGAATAGTAATGTGGTGGTGGGAATGAGAAGTAAACATATAATATATACCTATATATATTATGAGATGATATTGTTTGTGCGTAAGACGTATAACACGAATACGCAGCGGTTTATCTGTCAATGAATATGTGTGTAAATCGTTCTATGTGTATGTGTGTGTTTTTACGATCATCGTTGTGATACATAGGTACATATAATAATATAAAGGAGTATTATATTTAATATTATAGGCAGCTACATACCGCACGAGATTATTTTTTCTAATTCTTTTATTTGCGTCTACCTAATTTTTTTCTACTTAATATTCTAATACGAGAATATGGAAATAATCACTTACCTCGATATACTGCTTAAAGTTCGCAAGAAGTTTGTTGATCAAAATATAAGGAGCAAGTATAAGTATGCATAGGTTTCGATAAATCGTTACAATAAACTCAAGTAGATTTTTCTAATTGGTTTACCAATAAATATTTATATGGCTATACTCAGATGTCGGGTCACTAATAAGTGACGACTTGTGGGGGTGACGACCATCGACCTCGGTATGTTAGAGCTATGCTCAAATCACTCAGGCGTAATATATTGTGTGAGTGTTTGTAATGGGTTATTATAACATAGCTCATAGGTATAAGGTACAATATAACATAGGTATAAGGAAAAAGTCATGCACTCCAAGTCCTACAAAAATTACGTTTCAAAATATAAATAAAAGTACAAATTAATTCCCTAATATGATATTTAAATAAACGAATACATAATATATTAAATATAAAATTATAACCTTTCTTTCGGACATTTCTGAAAAAATACTGTAACATCAATTTTTGATAATATTTTATAAATTTATTTAAATATCTACTTATATGTAGTTTATTTTGTTTTTAAATTTGGATCGTAGTGAGAAGTGTATTGGTTTTACAATGATGGTAATTTTTTTAATTTTTTTAAATTTATAAACAACTTTTTTATCAGAAATCTGAAGTATCAAATGTAGCTTATATTTTGAATGGTAATTTTATCTAGTTGGTGCGTTGAGGAGGTCACTTTTTGATTTTCAAATCGGGTTTCATAATAATTGGGAAAAACCGGAAAACGGGAAAATGTACGTACATCTATGAAAGAAACTTCACTCCAAATTATTTTTTGTTAACAATAGTTTATCGTTGTGTACAGAAATAAATTGAATTCCGTTTTATATACTACCTTCCTAACTTCTAACTAACAACAGTGGCCCACCTAATAAGTAAAAAATATGTCAATTTTTTTTTTCAGTTGCTGCATTAAGATATAAAAAACAAAACGGAACACTTCCTGCTAGCTTTCTTATATACCGAGCTGGTCTGAAGGACGGACAAATACCTAATACGTATATTTTGGAATTAAAAACGATAAAGGTTTTTAATAGCCAATACCTATATACACCGTACTGATTACTATTTTGAAGGAATTTTAATAATTGTTTTGTACCTATAGGCTAGGTTGACAGACTTTTACGATGGGAAAGAACCCCCGATGGCATTTGTTTTGGTCCAAAGACGTCCCAATTCAAAATTGTTCACTTATTGTTCTGAAAATGAAGTAATAGATAATGTATTGCCCGGAACTGTCGTTGATTTTAATAACGATATAGATACCACAACGTAAGTATCAAATATTTTTTTAGAATTAGTTTGAATTGCGTTGTTAAAATATGATTTCTGATTAACTAATATAGAATAGCGTGTTGAAATATCATACTATATGTCTATCAATATGTTTATTTTCTGTGGTAATATTATATATTTTGTAATAAAATGTCACATTATCGGTTCGCACTATTTCTGAAAAAAAATTTGATATGATTAATATTTAATTAATCATAATTATGTGCCTTAAGAATGTAAATGTGCATTCATTTTAAAATATTTTAAAATCAAATGTTCACTTACAATAGGTAAGGAAAAAAACATGAGTGTGTTATATTTTGTTTTTTAATATCTGATTTGTGTTGTCAATACATTACAGTTACTATATAATCAATATTTAATAATAAAATATCAGAAAATTGTATGAATTGAAAATGTTTAATTTAACAATATCAATAATCTGTAATTTTAGATATGATTTTCTGATGGTATCCCGAAATGCGACACTCGGTATCGAAATGCCTACTTATTACGTTGTCATCCAAGATACTTTGAAAAATTGGTCACGCGATAAAATGATAAGTCTCACGTATAAATTGACGCACATGTACTTCAACAGGCTTGTAAGAAATTTATTTGATATTTAATAACAAAACACTTTATAAACTTTGTAAAATATAAATATTTGTCCTCAGTGCTCTTGTTCAACTCCTGCTCCATGTGAACTGGCGAACAAATTAGGTTGGTTCACTAGTGAAACACTTAAGGGTATTCGACATCCAAAATTAGATGAGTCATTATTTTATTTGTAAATAATATTATAATTATTTTTTAGATTTAAGCTGTTCAGTATTATAATCATTAATTATAAAATTAATTTGTAATCAATGAGTTAACTAAATAAGTTTCACGACCAAGACCCCTACATGATTTTTTTGATCATGGTATTCTAAATAAATGTGGGCCCCATTGTACCAAAACATTTTATAACAAATTAATAATAACAACAACTTAAATTTTACCTTGTATTTATTTTTACAGAAGTATACATTAAATATCGATTTTGTATATTATCATTTAATTCTAAACTTAAATTTTAATCTTAATTGCATTTTTCTATTCTTGCTTATTTTTTGACAAAATCACATATAATATTATCAAAGTTAATTTTTAAGGCAAGTTTGTTTTAAATTGATAAAAGTGTAAGGAAATTAAGTCATTCATGGTCGTTTTAAAACCTCTACTAAATTTTAAGCTGATTTCCTAACTTATTATAAAAGCTCTTTCTGCTTAAAAGACGATGATTGGTAATGTTAAAAAATTCTTAGAGTAATAGTAGTATTTATAAAAATAGTTTCTAATCTCTTTGTATATATTTCGTTCAATAGTTTTATTGGAGATATTTGATTTTCTGTTAGAATTATCGATTTTTAGTTTTTTAAATGTAATAATTCATCTAAATATATTCATTAGAATATTTTTCAATCATTTTTTTTAAAGTTTGTTTGGAATTCTCCACATAATAATTTCATATGGCATGAAACAAGAGAAAACAGGTTAAATAGATTTTGATTTATTTATTTATTCGTATGACATTACAATGAGCGATAACATTGAAATATATTCTAATTAGTAAGGCACAGATGTCGTAATAGTCAAAAAATAGTAAAATTGATTGCAGTATTATACTAAAAAATATCAAAAATTGTACTTAAAAATTAAAAATTGTACTAAAAAATAACGTATTTTTTAAAACTAGAAATATTTGACCTAATTTTCGACATATTTACAAATTATAAAACAATAAAAGAACTAGTGTCCACACGAAATTCACAAATTGTCAAATGATCACGTTTTATAAATTACCTTTGTGTTAAACATACCTATTATCTATATGTCTAACCCAGGGCTTCCTCGGGAGGTCCATGCCTAGAACTGGAGTGCACACGTTATCTGCGTAGATGCCACCTAGTCTCTCTCTCAGCCATTCAGCCTGCCACGTATCTATGATGTTTTCCCTCACCTCGGTAATGGTCCGATCTCTTAGTAGGAACGGTTTCCGAGACTTAAGTCTCGGGCTTACAATTCCGTCTTCATTTAGTGGCAATTCCTGGTGTCTATCTATTTTATCATTTTCTTTCAACACGCTGTTATTTCTCCTAATACGAATCGGTTCTATATTGACCAGATAGGGCAATCATTGTTTGTGCTCGAAATTGTGCCTTATATTATACGTATTTTATCTATTAAGATAATTTCAGTTAAGACTCTATTTAATGATTTTAAAATACCAGGAAGATGTTTTATATCATTTATATATTTGGACATTTGGCTGAAACATTGAAGCTCTAACGTGTTTCAGACTGAGATTCTAACGATACACCAACCTCATTTAAAATATTCCATTATGTTGGGCTGATACTAAAAACTTAGATATAAACTTTGTACATACGTAAAAAAAGATTGAACTCTTGAATCTATTTTTACTGCATTTACATCAACATTAAGGAAATGAATATTGGCAAATAAAAAGCAAGATATGTTTTCTAGAATACGAATTTACAAACCCTTAATTTTTCCAATCATATTAGAAACATTATCATACGCTTGGGATCAAATATCTACTAATTAAATTGTATGATGTTTTTCCATTAAAATTTAAAAACTCAATTAACCTTTCTTGAATTTCAAATTGTTTTGTCTGTTACGCGAAACATATCTTAAAACTAATACATTCTATTCTTGGTGTGAAATTTCAGGAGTAGCATTTATAATAATGCTATAATATATTGATTCAGTTCGTTCATCAAGAATGTACCTTGAAACATTATTACCAGAAAGGGAAATAAATTCATTTTGACTCATTCAAGATAAATAATGGGTCTTTCCTTTCATACTCCCCCCTTTGATATTTTTGAATATATGCTAAATGTTCTCTTGGTATTTCATCGTAACGTCCAAGAAGTTCTAATAACCCAAGAAAGTTACCATTATTTACTTCACTAATTTGGGTGCTACTGCCTCGAAAAACTGCTCTGAAGCTAGAAATAGTTACATTAAGCAGTCTTTTTAGGATATATTTCCATTTTTCTGTTTCACTAAGAATTTGTTTTTTTAATTGGCTTTCTACTCTAAAACCTAACAGAGACTGTTTTATTTTTTCTGATACTTTTAGTTTAAACAAATTTATTTATTACCTGAGTTTTTGAAACTGCTTTTTCTTCCATTTTTAATTTAAATGTTGATTTTTGAGCTCCAGATTTATGTTTATAAAGTGAAGACATTTTTGTGTAATATATATACATGAAAATGTAAACAAAAATAAACATTTATTGAAAAAATCAGTTACTTTAGCTTGTTTAAGACCTTGATTTGCCATAAAATTTCCATAAAAGTATCTGTTATTTAGAATGTCTGGTATTTAAATGTTTTTCAATCTAAAAGTAGTGAAAATGTCCCCGTTCCCGAAAAAACGTCAGCTATTTGGAACTGTCTGGTATTAGAGGTGTCCATTAAGGAAGGTTTTACTGTATATATATTACAAAATAATCAAATAATTAAATGTACAGTTATAGTTAAAGATAAGGAGACTTTTACGTAATTTAAAAATATCTATGCTCTATTCCAAATAAGTCTGGAAAAATGTACGACTAAACCGCGTATAAAACTATATTCGTATCATATTCGTATATTTGTTAATAACAATAACATTAATAACTAAAAAAAAAAAAAAAAACATTTTTCTTATTTATTGTGTACTAACTATATATTATAAATCTTTTGTAATATAAAAATAAAAACAAAAACTAAATATTAATACATTATATTATTTTTCCGGGTCCCTTAAAAATCCGGGCCACCGGACCATAGCACTCACTAATACCCCTTTGTGGGAGCTATAGTCACGACAGGAATACTTTAAATCCTTTTAATCATTTTTAAACTCATTGAATATAATTATTGTACACTTCATATACTCTTTAAAATGTGTGTCAAATAAAATAAAATTTATTAATACAAATTATTATTTTTTTTTTTATTATTATTAATTATTATTAGTGTACCTACTCATTATTATAGTATAGATACACAGATATTAGATATTTAAGACGTAAAAATACAAATTATGTTTAGGACAGCTGAAATTATATTTACATTCCACTTAATTAAATATTCAAAAGCATAATAATTATGTCAGAATAGTAAAAGATATTTGTATTTATTTTGGTTTGCTAAATTTACATAAATACGATATGATATAAACGGGTCATAATAATAATGTTATATCATGATCAATATTTTTCGAACTATTTGAGAGTATACATAGTATACCTGTAATATTTCAAAAAATCTTGAAAGTACTTATATATGGCCATGACGCATATGTAGTATACCTTATGGAACACCACTACAGTTATAAATTATAAATAATGGAAAAAACGTACTAACCTAAAATAAACTACATATTTTATGTAGATAAAATCTTTGCCAAATTTTACATAATTAAAGTATTTGATTGTAAAATGGTTTAAGTTGTCAGGAGAAAGTTTTAAAGCTATTAAAATCCTCGATCTTACAAGTAGAAGTAATAGACCTAACCTGCAGTAGTTTGGACTGGATAAAAGATAATAATAATAATTATAATTTATAGGTATTTTTTATTGTTTAGTAACCATATAACAGATTAATATATTATGTATGAAATAAAATTTAAAAAAATATATTTTTAAAACCTGAAGGGTAACACGTTTAACTGTAGTGATAGTGACGGGAATTGAAATAGAGAATCTAGGGGAAAACTTTTTTATTATATATTTGTTTGGTACGGGAAACGCTGGGCTCTTTTATTACCTAATCTAATCCATATGATTAAAAATTAAAGGTTTGGAGGTTTGGAGAACTACACATTTGCTCACATTTTGTAGACTCGGTGTGTATTTTTGAACCATATATTATTATGTTTTAAAATGGTTGAAGGGTTTCCGAATCAGGCATATGTTACAGACTCTGTCCTTCACGCGTGAAATTTGTTAATTATAAATTAACAATTCCACGCGACAAGATATGAAATCGGTCGTCGTATTAAGTGTACGCACGTAAAGGCTATTAATACGCATGTGGTAAACCAACGACGTTCCCATACAACAACGGATGAAGGTGTTCATGGATCAAAGGGAAAACGTGTCCGAGTAAGGATGACGTGCTACCAGTATACAACGGCGGTAACGTCCACCACCACCTAGGCCCCGATCGAGACGACAAAAATATATAAGGAGACCGGAATCATCACTGAAGCTGAACCTGAACTCAGTCAGGAGTCAAGACAGCTAACCGCCACAGACGCTCGAGAAGGAGGAGCACAGTCACCTCGACACCAACTCTTTCAGTCATTTCTTTAATGTACTTATACCTGATAATTACAACTAAATCTTGACTTGGGTCTGGTGTCGCAGGGTTTTCACTTATAGGTATAACTTGTCAACTGTGTTTTGTTTAAATTCTAACATAAAACCATTTGTAGACCTAACACACGTGTACATCTTCCTATCAAAAGGCTGTGTCCGAACGGTCCGTAACAATACGTTCTAGAATCTTAATAAATTCTACACGGCTTGAGAGTATGTATAGAGTATATATATCCAAACTATAAATAATATTTTAATCGATTACCTTACCATAACGTACATAGATATCTACTAAAAAATATTTTTTTGATTCGCTACAGCACTTTAACCTGAATTTAAGAATTAAAGGATTGTAACAATGCAAAAATTTATGGAACAATTAATAGAAATATAAAATAATTTTCTGATAAAATATTTATTTTTCAAAGAACAGGACATCAAGTGGATAGTTATGCTTCTCAAGAATGAGGACCATATTTATTTAACGTACTTGCTGGTTTGTACATTTTCACTAATTTATAACAGTTAACAATTAGTATTTATCAATATAAAGGTGAAACAAAACGCAAGGTTATATAATTGAAAATTCATCTATTCGAATTTTGATAAAAACGGTTTCGAAGATTTCGAAGCAGTTGTTTAGCTGCTCATGTAATATCGTAGGTATTTACATTCGAAGCAATTACATTCGGAGCAATGAAATGCTATTGCTACGACAGAGTAATAGATGCTCGTAATAGTTGCTTTTCGTGGCAGTGGTGTCTTTCCATTTTTTACATTTAATGGTGTATAGTTATGGTTACTTATATGTAGTTATAAATATGTACATTGAAGAAATCAATAATAAAATACAAATTTTAAATACCTAGTATACTTATAAATCGAACTAGAAGTTAATAATAACATAAAATGTAATTAGTATAATAAATAATTATATATTTATTATGAATAATAAATATATGAAGTATACAATTGTTTTAAGAGTTGAAAAAAATCTTTTCGATTGAAGACTTAAATTTAGATAGAATTGAAAAATACAATTGTAATTCCTAATATATTCAACTGAGACTATTCAAATATTGAAACAAAAACAGTAAATAGTTACACAATAAATAAATAATTCATATTTTTATTTGATCAATTTTTAAAACTTTATTGAAAATAAAAAACAACATGTGTCCTTATATTATTATAATATAAACTAAAAAAAAAACTGTAAGTAAATACTAAATATCTATTTATAATACATTATAACCTTATAAATTATAGATTCTTATTACTTATAAATAAAAAAGAAAAATATTTGTAAATTTTATTGAACTTCAAAATATTTTATTTTGTTTTAATAAAATTAAGTTTTCAAACACATTATCACCTAGACTATGATGTTTTTATGTCATTACATTCCCCTAGTACTATATAACCTTTCTACAGGTGCACTTGAGGATAAACTTGTATTAAACTGAATGCATTTGGATAGTACTTTAGGAAATACAACTAAACTTTTTAAATCAATATTTATTTTATTTAAGAAATTTAAAAATTCTTGATCTGAGATTATTATTTTATTAGAATAGCTTTTTGTTGGTAAATAAAAAAATCTTTATTTGAATCAGAATCAGAATCACTATTTGAATTATCATCAGACACTTTATTTTCAGAACATGAACAGGAAAACTCAGTTTTTAAAAATAATTCCACATTCAATTATTCGTTACTTTCCAGCCAATTTAATTTAAATCTTGGAATAAGATATGCAGCAGTTACTAATTCTTTTTTTCCATCCATATGTGGTCAAATCTAAAACACCAGTAACATAGTAATAAGTAATAATAATTTATTTAATTTTCTAATTTAATCATACAAAGCTTTTTTTTTATTGATCTTAAAACAGCTACTAATAGAAGTGTACAATGTGTCACAAGTTTGCATTGTCTACTTTTAATTTTTTACTCTTAAAGCATGTGAAGTTGGTAGCAGATACCTCATATACATAGCTTTTTCACTTTGTAAGAAATCTTAGGATTCTGTAACTGGTCCAAATATATTACAAAATTAATTTATGAATACAGCTTTTTCATTTAATATTTTTGGTAATGTATTAAAATCTATGACTTGGTTCAATTTTTCTGAGCTGCCAGGTTAATTTATAATTCTTTTGTTCTAATTAATTCTAATTAATTGAAGTAATGCATCATATGCATATATATATATATATCATATGTTCCACATCATATGTGGAATTCCATCTTGTTTTATTAGGAACTCTCAAATACACATTAAGTACTTCATGCATTTTTCTGCCACTGATTTGTTTTGACCAAAGTTTTGTTAACTTGGAAAAAAGTTTTTTGTTGAGCTTTTTGAGTTGAAGAACATCAGCTTTTCTTTCATTTTCATTAAACCATTTTTCAACATCATTAGTTGCGACCTAGTTCAAAGTATGATTCATACATTGTCTGTGAGCTGACAAACTAACTTAATTTACATAATAATTTTCTGCACCATCTTCAGCATTTTCAATTATTCCAGTTAAATCAATTAACTCTATTTCTTCATCTTTATTCTAATCTTCATCGAATAAGTTTTCCTCATCATTTTTATCAATTCCAATAACCCTAAATGCTTTTACAAAATTGCTACTATAATCAGTTGTTGTTTCTTTGGCTGTTACATCAAAAGTATTCCTACCTTTTATCACTGTGCAAGCTAATGATGTTCATTCTCTAACTAATGTTGTTATATTAATCCAATGGGCTGTTATGCCAAGGTTAGATTTTTTACCTTGGGTCCAACAATCTGCAGTTTCTAATATATATTCAATATTTGACAGTGTTTTAGTAATATTATATACCATTGCATTAGCTTCAGAGTTTAATTGTGTTTTTAATATTTTTGAACACATAACAGTTAATGTTTTTTGTAGTCCCAACCTAATTAAATTCAAAAATACTGGCTTGTCAACAATATTAACTGACTGTGTATCTTGAACAACAAATTTAATTACTGCTGAGCCCAGTAGCTTTTGGGTAATTATTACATCTTCAATAACAATTCTGTGTAATGTAGACTGTATGAAACTGCTTGATTTATTATCAGCCAGTAGATTTTTTACTATTGTATCCTCATTATGCCCATGCCTATACACGATACAGCTATTATTGGTTTACTATTATAGGTTTACACCTATACCTGTTCATTTTTATTATAATTAGCCGATTAAGTTTATTAAAAATTTGTGGAAATTATAATATTAAAGTTGTTATATGTCAAGCTGGGGCCACTGGAATTTCATAAATTTAATTTATATAATTTGCAATCAAATAAATATTGTAAGAATTATAATGGGAAAATATTATTATTATAATATAATTAATTAATATATTTTATACATATATTAATAAAACATATTGTTGATGTTAGCTAACACTATACATAAACAAAATTTCAATCCCCTAGTTTCATTTGAAATGTGTTTTAAGCCAAGAAACACTCTTCTCCTGTAACAACATTAAAAATTCAATTAAACTATATTTAATTATTTCACTCATATCTCAATAATGACTAATCAAAAGCAAATTTAATTTTAAAAATTCATTAGAACATATTGTAAATGCTTAATTACTAGGTATTTACATTTTATTGGACATGATTTATCTAAGACTACAGTTTAAAAAAATAAATAAATAAACCAATATAACAGTGGTTCTCTGTCCTGTATTCCTGTGATATGCGTCACCAAAAATGTTGTTTATATTTTACTGTTTATACTATAGGTTTTCATAGAATAAATGTATGGCATAATTATTACAGTATGTTAAAACCCAAAGATAAGAAAAACAAGAAAATTGGCATTGCGTAGGTATGTATGTACATTTCATTGATTTTATTATTTTAAATGTGTAATTTGTATGGATCTAAATTAGGGTGTCGTCATACAAAAAAGGTTGAGAACCATTGCTATATATTCAGTGGCGTATACAGGGAGGTTAGGGAGTTGCAATCATCCCCTCTCCCTGAAATGTCTTCGAAATTAAAAAAATATTTATAATTTGAAAAAAGAATAAAGTGTTATTACATTTAGCAGTTTACACAAATAATAAAAATTAATAATATACATGTCCAGTCCAGTGTAGTGTGTATATTATAATATGTAGCTTTATGGTTATCGGTTATCACTTTCGGTTATCCAAAAAGACAAATTATTTTGCAATTGTCAATAAAAGAAGTATATCCATAGACTAATCGGTTTAACTAAACTAAAAAATCTATGTGCAACTCGATGGGTCAACCGCCATGATGCAGTTATATTATTTGAAGAACTTCAACCAGCCATTTTACATGCACTAGATAAAATTATACTTTGGACAGATTGTAACATTTCTAGTTCTGCAAGTCATCTTCTTACTTAACTTAATTAATTTTTTGATGGACCTTGTTAGCTCAGCTACAGCAGTATTTGAACCACTCTTACTTGGCCATCGCTTATACATGGAAGTAGATGAGTGATTTAGGTTGGTGAAGTCTTTATGTCCTTGACTACAACAGGGTCGCCCACTTGTAGATTGGGTTGAGTAGATCACCACATGTTCTGTAAAGAACATAAATATTCGGATGTCCACCATTTCCAGAATCCCGGTTGAAGCTGCTGTATGAGGTTCCTCCTGGTCAAAGGATTTATAAGAACATTTGCTAATTCTAATTCAGATAAGGCTAGAAGTGATCTTCCTATAAGGAAATGTCTAGGAGTTGAAGCTGAATAATCAGTGATATCCATGGAGACAGCTTGAAGTGGTCTGGAGTTTAAAATCACTTTAATTTGACAAAATAAGGTGTTTAACTCCTCTGCAGTAAAGGACATGTCTCCTGTAACTTTCAGGATTTTCCTTGGCAGACTTTACATTTGATTCCCACAAACTTCCATGATAAAGCGAAGCAGGTGGTATGAATTTCCATGTTATGTATGTATTCTTGGCTGATGATTACTATAGTGGAGTAATTTTTCAGCTGAATAATTGGATGTTTCATATCATAGGTCAAATCTGAATGTTTGAAACGACCACCTACTCTTAATATTCCCTTTTTATCTATAAAGGGGTTCAAACCAGGAAATTGGCTATTAGTCTTTACATTCTGTTGTCTCAGGGAGGTTAGATCCATGATAAACTCTGCTCCTTGCACTATATATATTCAATACTTCATTACTTGACGCCTTTCACTCTCAGCACAGCTATGATGGCCCGGCTAGCCCTAGGTCTACAGTTCCTAAAAAAACGAATAATATTAGACACAATTTTTAATAACCAGATTAGAATGATGGCTTAGCAATTGTAAACTTGGTGAAGGGTTTCACCCTAACCATCAAAACCGCTGATGGCATCAAGTTTTGGATCTGTCCTACTCTATTTGAGATAAATGTTAGCCATCTAGCTGGATGCTACCATGCGTCTTTAAAGTTAAAAGCAGTTGACGATAGAGTTGCTATGACTTCCACTGCTTGTAGGCTGGTTTTCAAGTAATACATTCTATGCACATAATCAATAATTTTATTATTATGAACTATTGGCATAAATTTATCACGGTTTGAGTACCATTTTTCAAACTTGCCGTCCAATGTAGGCATATTAATGGGTGGAAGTTTTATCAATTTATGTACATTGTTTTCATATGGATATGTTTTGGCTTTAATATGTTCTTCTGCTCTGTATATGTGCGTTAATAAAATTGATTTAGTATGTGCAAATATGTCACTTACTTCTTTCAGCCTATCTATGAAAGTATCAATTTTATCCTCATTAGCAGTCAAAATGAATTGCTACAACTCATTATAAATGTCAAACGTTTGTTCTAACATTTTTAATTGAACTCTTCCTTGATCAGAGTTTAGGAGAGACACATTTTCTACTGACAGATGATCTTTTTTCTTGATGATGAATTTTTGTTCATTACTTAACGTTTTAATTAACATAATTGTGAATGTAATCTTATGTAATGGATACACGTAAAAAAAAATAAATAAAAATCCGAATCGATTGGACCGAAATGTTTTGCTGTATACCCTATAAAGTATTTTGCATATAAAATGTATTCGTGGTTTTTGTTTGGTTAACTAACGAGTAGTAAGTTTTTATTGAACATGAACTCATGAACATACATTACAATAGTAATAACAATAATAACAATGATAATAAATGGTAACCTAATAGTTGATAAGAAATAAATATGACAATAAAACATTCATAGTGTAGACTGTATAGATGAAAATTACTCAAACCGTAGTTTTGAGACGAATGTAATTTGTATTTTATATTTTAGGACGACGAAAACATCAGATACCTCTTGCAGCATAATTTTTAACCGGCGAGATTTTATAGGTTTTCTGACTAATCTGGAGATTGCTGTAGGAATCGTATTAATAGTTGAACTATCGAACATGGTTTTATTAAAGATGAATTAGCCGAGATGTTATCATCAGATTCCGGAGCATTAAATATAATCACATTTCGTGATTTTGATTGTTTATTGAAAACTTAAGATATTATTAGAGACTCATAAGAAGCGTTAGTTAGTAATGATAGTTATCAGTGATATCTAGTTCCTTAAAGTAGAAAACCAGCACGGCAACAATGCCAACGCTATCGCGAAATAGAACCGTTAAGGTTTCCATCACTGCTGTCGGCTTGCGACCCAGCAGCAAAACAAGTGTTAACTAATAGAATAATAAATTATGTATTCTCAATTTAGTTATAAGTTGTAAGTGATAATAATAATGTTTGTATGATAACGTAGTAGGCCATCTTGCAGCCGTTCAGATTTTCTGTCCCTAGATGTTTGTCTCTATTTGTTGTCCGCGTCATCATTATGCGGTGAATGCAATTGTGGATTTCAGAGTTCATTGTACACACAACGGACGAACCGATTCACAATGAGTTACAATAGACCACCTCCAAGGATTGAAGGCATGGTGTCGTTAAAAGTCGACAACCTCACCTATAGGACAACTCCGGATGATTTGAGAAGAGTGTTCAAACGATACGGTGAAGTTGGAGACGTTTATATTCCTCGAGATCGTTTCACTCGAGAAAGCAGAGGATTCGCTTTTGTTAGGTATAATATGCTTCTTACAACTGTTTAATGCCATTCAATATTATGTTTGCTTTTTTTTTTATTGTTTTTAAGCGTGTTGCCAGGCATAATTATTGACACTTATTTTAATGTAATTTGGATGTGTACAAAAATGATTATATTATTAAAATTGAGCTCAATACAAATTAATATTGTCCATAAGGTAGAGCTTTCTTATTAATTTGGTCGAGATTTCTTTTAGTGGCAATTTGCAATGATCCAAAACTTTGATCTTATCTGATTTGACACACCAACTTACAGAGTTTTATTTGAGATTTTACAACTAAATTAAGCACAATATTTATATTATCTGTTTAGGATATTTTTTTTGATATTATTTCAGGTTCTATGATAAACGTGATGCAGAAGACGCATTAGATATTATGGATGGTCGCATGTTGGATGGTAGGGTATTAGGAGTTCAAATGGCTCGATATGGCCCTCCTACTTCACCGTATAGAAGACGCCGTAGAAGGTAGAAATTAATAAATATCTACAAGTATTTTAGTAATTTTATTTTACAGTTTAATATGGCTTTTACAATATGTACTTTAAGTGCAGCAAACTGGAACTTCCAAATATTATTTTGACTACATACTATTTATATAATAATTAATCTATGCCAGTACATATCAACTCACTATACTTTGTATAAAAAAAAAATGCATGTAAATTAATGAAACTTAAACTACTAGTGTCCTCTCACCTCCAATATTTTTTTTATAGCTATGTTACTGATATCTATTACGTGATATTAAAGTACTAAAAAACAACATTTGTAAATGTCAAGTATTAGTCACCTATTCTTACAATTTATTGTAGTTTTTTATGTTCTTGTTTATTATTCTTGTCACTAGATTGCTATCTGTTGTCAGTTTTAAGTATATTGATTAAAATACAGTAGAATCCGCTTATTCGGGACACCGCATAAAGGGGACAAACCATCGGTTATAAGGGACAAAAATAAAAGCGGCTAACTAGGTATTCTGACCTAAATTATCTACTTTCTTATTGAAACTGTAATTATCTAATCTTTATGGCTCTATTATATTTTATATTTATAAAATATACTTCACTAGATGTTTGTGCAGATTTTATCTATAAGCAAAGTCTTGATAAATTACAGCAAAGAAGAATGGACGATTTTCTGCAGCCTAACAAAATATGAATTAAGTATGTACATAATGTACAACTGCTAATAATAATAATAATATGTAATTTTTAAATAAAGTATGAATCAAGTATGTATATATTTTTTAAATAAAGTTTTTTTAGTTTTTTTTCGTCAGTTCGGATAATGGGGACAAATAGGTTACCGCCCGGTGTGTCCCCATTAAGTGGATTCTACTGTAATATCAAACTTTTTCTGTTAGTTCCCTTTGATCTACTCTGTGTATTTTTAATTTGCTGAACATATCAAGTGTTAACCCTTCTTGAAAATTATTAATTCTAAGATGGTAACAAACTAGTACTAATATTAATATTGTCTAGGTAATTTGTAAATAAATATTTCTGTTATCATTTTTTTATTTTTTACAATTTTGAGTTTCATTTTTAACTATTTTCCATTTACTTTAAAAATTGACTTAATACTTAATTTTTTTTAAAGAATGTAAGCTTTATAAAAACCCATTAATAGCAACACTATTTTCAGGTGTAGGGTGTAATTGGGGAGTTTGGCTGAATGTTGTGGCTGAGGCTGAGCTAAGGTGTAATTATCGTACTAACCACAGCGAAGGCGAGGACGTTGTTCCTGCCAATAGCAGATGCGTACTGAGTGCTGACTAATGCTGATCCGCTGAGTACCATTTGCAGATTTCAGTTTGCTGTCTTAAAAAAAATAAACTATATAAAACATTCTTGAGTTATCCTTGCAACTTTGTTTAGAATTAGGAAACTGCAATTTTGTTTTCCTCACAAAGCCCTCATTTTCTTTATTTCGAGCTTGAAGATTTTATTTTCTCCATTTGCATATGTAATAATGTCCTCCATAGGATAGAATAGATATACCTAATGTTTTTTTTGAAATCATTGTCATATGTAATCTAATAATAGTTTTTAATATTATATACCCAATCATACTTTTATTTTATTAATTAATTTAGGTCACGTTCCACTAGATGTCATTCTTACTCCAGATCTAGATCTCATGGACGGCGTTCACGTTCTTATTCTAGATCACGGTCTTATTCTAGATCACGTTCTCATTCTAGATCACGTTCTCATTCTAGATCACGTTCTTATTCACACTCGAGTAGTAAGAGTTCAAGAGGACATACAAAGTCAGCCAGCCGTTCAAGATCATAAGGTAATGTTTATAATTTAAGATGTGTTCATATAGAATGGGTGAAAACACTAATGATATTTTAATTAACTGGTGAAACATAGACACTAGATGAATAAGATAGTTTTCCATTTTGTAAAATATTCTCTTTTTCCAGCGATAATATAACAGTGGATTGGCCATTAGACTTCTTTTATCGTACCCAAATGATAGGCTATAGGGTTACATGTTTATTCATTTTTTAACATTTTTACTAAACAACAATAGTTCTTTTCTGTGTGTTTTCATTAATTTGATTTTCGATTTTTTTTTTTTTAGGTGTGGTTTAAAACAATTTCATTATAGAAATCCACATTTTAAGTTTATTCTACTGATATCAAATATACAATTTATTTTATATCATAATCATAATTTCTTAACTTTTTATGCCATTTATAAATCTCAAAATAATTGTAAGTTGAAATAATAATATATAATAATCATTTTGTATCCTAAATTTTAATTTTTTTCTTGAAATATTTTTATGTATTAAATATACATAGGCTATAATCCTACAACAAATTATAATTTTTTTATCTCTTTATATATATTAAGGGGTTTTTTTTCAAGTATGGTTAATAGTTCTTCTTAACATCTATTTGTTAATATGTAATTATATTTGTTGTAAGACTCATTATAATTGTAATAAAACATTTCAATATGGGTTAAATAGGTTCTCGTAAAAATAAGTGCAGTTTTGTTGCAATTTAATACATTCACATTTATAATTGGTCATATTTTGTACATATTAAGTTATTGAGTAGTAAGTAATAAAGTGACTTCTAACAACTGATAATTGTTCTCTGTAATAAGTTTAAAAATATAAGTGATTATAAATAATATGACAATTTTTCCTGACTTATTTTTATTTTTTTTATTAATAAATATAATATCTTATTATGTATTATATGATTATACAACATGTGAAGTTCTAATAAAAAAAAGTAATTTAATTCTATTGTTATTAGTTTAATATTATGCTTTTTAATTTGTTTTATGGATTGGATTGATGTATATAGCTCATAGAGTTTATTTAAAGTATTTTATATTTTAATTTTTATCTTATTATTTGCATAATATATAAAACATTTATACAATTTAGTTGTAATAAATTACATTGTTAAAAACTCATCCCTTAACCTAATTATCAAAATGAGATAAAAAGACCATACCTTTTTCACTATTTTAATTATTCACTTTGGCTGACTGTTACATAAATATAGATCACAAAGTATATATATTTTTTTTTCAGATTTTCTCTGAAAATAGAAACTATTATGTCTTATTATATATATTTTTTTTGCCACTTACTGACTTTCTGGAATAAATGAGCTCAAACTTTGAAATTGCAAGTTAAACAGATAGCGATGAAATTTTAATTGAATTGCATTGTGTTGTTGCAAGATAGGGTGTCAGCTGTGTTTAAGCTACATACACATCTATACAAACCCTTCAAATGGTGGTAGATGGATGATTGTGATAATGGTTTGTATATGCATACTGTATGTGCCTTTGGAGGTTTCTATTTTTAATCACCTTCCCAATGATCTCTTTGCTTCAATTTCATGTTTTTACTGGATATACTGAGTTTTAACAAATACAAAGTAATTAAGGAGATAAAATATATGTATATCAGTGGTCCATTATTGGTTACAGGTATAAATTAAATAACTTCATGTATCACATCTTCCCCACTACCCAACTACAACTCAAATATCAGCTCTTTTATTTTTATTTTTAATTTTTATAGTTTAAAATTGCCTTAGTTTGTCTCATAAATTGTTTTCCATTATGATTTAAGCATGCATGAAAATCCCTGTTTGTTTAACTTGAAATTAGTCTTGAATACATATTTATTTTATCTTTCAAATGCATAATATTAAAGAGTAGGGGTGAGTCTGCATAGAAGACAGTTTTTAGAATCAGGTTTTCTTCATTATCTCGAATATTAATAATAATTTTAAAAAATGACTTCTTTAAGGTATCATATAGAGAACATTTCCTTTCAGAAAAAGTGTTAAACTTGATAATCAAAGTAAGCTCTCTGGTAGAAAGTGTTCACATAAAAAAAAAATAAACATCATTGTAAAACTTCTTTGCTCCACTTAGAATCTAAAATATACATATATATTATATATATAATATATTATGATATATATAATGTGTATTTAATGTGAATTCACACCCATACAGGTATTGATAAAATTTCTTAACAGCAAATACTACAGCATACGTTAATAAATCATATTTTTGCTGAGTGGCTGTAAGTGTTTATGTTACATACTGTATTGTTTTTTCAGTAGTTCCTTAGAATTTAAGAATTTTTAATCTTAACTTACTTTTTTTGTTGGAGAGTCTTGACTTTAATTAGTTTATGACATACATCTATGACCAACTTGGACACACTTGTCAGTAATTGCATTTCAAGTGTTGTCTTGGAATACCAATGACTAATTGTTGATTGGCACTTTGGTTTAATAATCCTAACTGTTTATTCAAAAATATCTATTCATCTTTTGCCTGGATTTCATGATCTTTGGCATATACCTAAGAAAACAAATCAATACAAAAAAGAACTGATACTGAGGATAGGTGCAGCCACTGTTGTAGGTGGGAAGTTTGGAAGGTAGAATACATAAAGAATACATTCCAGTACTCTAAAAAATGTTAACACCAAAATTTATTTAAAGTATTACTTGGTCTATTTATGGAATTTTTAATATAAGTTCTTGTATGAAGAACAAAAGTTGGCATTGCCACAACATACTCCTTAAATGATGTGAAAAATCTAAAATAACAGCTTTAACTATACTTAAAAATGCCAAAAATCAAAATTTGAATAGATACAAAATTTAAATAAAAAATGGGGTGAGCACACTTGTGAATCATCATATATAGGAAAAATTTCTGGTAGAAAAGTTGCTCACAGCCCACCCCCCCCCCCTCCATCTCAAAAAAAAATACACCTAGTAAACCCAATAGATTCCTCACTATGCTCCAAATTCATTTAAGTTGACACTGATGATGGATGTACCATTTTTATATTTTTCATCAAAATGTACCTAGGTAGTGAAGTTATGTGATTCCAATGGAAAATGCGGTAAAACTTGATCAGATTTTTTTGAAAATTTTACCAAACTTAAAATTTAACACTGGAATCATTTTAGGTCCTTTATGCAAAATAAAAAGCAAACGAGATGGGGATGATCAATACAAAAGTTTCGAATGATTATAGGTTGAAACCAACATACGGGGCTGCCCACATAATTGCGACATAAGCCATTTTTAATATCTCCTTTTTTACACATCTTGTACATTGTATCTTGTTACTTTCGGTTCTAGTCATTTGTTAATAAGGACCAAAAATTATCTTTGCTTTACGTTTTACATTTGAATACATTTTCAAAAAAAATACTAATATTAACAGAGTACTCTACTCACAAAGTAGATAACTATCTAGGTGAGTGCCTATACAAATCTGGTAGGTACATATCTGGAGTATACAATTTTAATATTTGTAAGGATCTGGCCTGTAAAAAACTAGACTGTATAAATCTGAATGGGAAATATTAACTATATACGTTTTAAAGGGTATGAGTAGGCAAACTATTTAAATTTATGCTTGTTTTTAAAGAATAATAAAAAAAAATTGATATAAAAATTGATCAGCGGTAAAATGAGTATAGACAAACAAGAACATTAAAAATTTAAAATTTGTACCTCACATGTTTTTACGTTCCAGAATTATACTATTTAGGTTTTTAAGCGCTCCTGTATAGTTATATTTTCTTAAAACAACTGTTTTTATATTTAAGAGTTGAACACTTTATTCAGATCATCTTATTATTGCTCTAATATTAACTAAATCTATAATGATTAAGTAATAAGATATAAAATTAGTTTTATAAAATATAATATTTCAATAATAATAATGTACAATATTATACTTTGCCCATTAGAACTAAAATATTTAGTTGTATTTTTACAGAATATGTATTCTAAATTTAATCAACATATTTTATACTTAATATATAAGTAATGAAAATAAATATTAATTTTTAATAGATTCTTATTGTCCCTCAAGGAACAGATTGTATATTTCGTATATAAAATATAAAAGAAAAAAATTTTAATAAAAATGTATACACCAATCTAAAAGTACTATTACTCAAAGAATTATCTTTTATTTTGATAAGTTGTTAAATTTTGTTTTAGGTAACTACACTGGTTTTTAATATATTATTGAAGATATGTGACCAACCCATAATAACTTGAAAAAAAATCAGCTTTTCAATGTTTAAAGGTTTTTCTAGAATCTATTGAAAAATTTAAAGTTTAAATATTTATATACAGCTTTAATATAAAGATGTGTATTTTAAAATAATCAGAAATACAATATGTAAAATGTAAAATTGAATTTTAACTGTTAAATTATGTGAGAAAATTTGTATTATCTCATTCAGATGTGATCTTGTCCAAAATATACACATTAAAACAATAATAGGCAAATTTAAGTTTTTTATAATATATTCATCAAACATTTATTTTATGTTTAATAAGTAACTGTACATTTAAATTAAATACAAATATCATTGACACATTCTTAATGTTTCTTCAGATGCTAAAAAAGTTAGTTAAGCTAGTTATAAGTCTAAATTAATTTCTGTAGTTTTGCTGATAAAGCTTGGCCCGATTTGTTAAGTCTTAATGTTGTTGATTTTCAATCTTTCATCATTTCTATAGAATTTTGTTTTTTAACTGGGAATCCTCCAAGAACAAATACAGATAATCTAGGCTCTAAACCATTATCTTTCCTAAATACATAACCAAAAAAGTCCAATGTCAATTATCAATGACTTAATAATATAATATTAATAATATACATAATAACCAATAGTGTAATATAAACTTGCATAAAATTTTTACAACCATGTGACTAAACACAATTCAGATACATATATATATATATGCCTTATATTTGGTATTTAATAAAAGAAAATTAGTTGGTACAATAAATACAAGAAGTATTCATTATTTTATTTTACTAAATTCTTTGTAGTCAAAACATGATAATGCAATTAGAAAAATCCTTTGGGCAATCATTCTATCGAGAATACCATACACAAGTATGCAACTTCTTTTGAAAATCTCTCTCCAATAACTAGTTCTGACTTTTAGAAGCTAATAACTTGTGTTAAATTAATTTACATATTTATTTTAGTTATTCAACCTTTTTCATTATTAATTTAAATATTAGCATCCTCATTTATTGATATCATTATTATTTTATTAATTATTATTACATTTTTATTCTATAAAATAGTAAGTAGAAATATTTGTATTACACTGTGGACAGTATAATAATTGTAGATTTTAGAAATAAACAAGATATTATTTATAATACTGTTATCAAATTAGATAAACCCAAAATTAACTACGATAACAATGTGATATGCAAAGTTACTTATTATTATTACTCTAAGCAATTACTGTTGATTACATACTAAGGCGATATGAAAGGTGATAACACGCTTTGAAGTGTGAACTGCACTCATACTAATGTTCAATTACTTCTTACTCCTTAGAAAATGACCGACAGGAAACACTATAATTCCATAATGATTAGAAGAAACAGAAATAAAATTCACTTAAAATCCTCTGAAATAATTGCTGGTTCATGATAAAAAAAATCACCTGTATAATCTAATGACCTCTAACCCCATAGCTGCCAAATCTTACAAATGATACCTACTTAATTATTAGTACTTTAACATATTTAACACAATGTTTTTGATTTATTATATTTTATTTGAATTTTAGCATAACATCATTTACTAAAAGAGGACAGGTTAGTTGTCCTTAATTTTCAATGGAAGATGGATATTAGTGGATTTTGGAATACGCACAAGAGTTTCCAGAAATCTATTACCAAATAGACATTTTTAAATAGATATGACATTGAATGTTTACACATTTCCTAAAATGATTTATTGACAAATGATATAATTATTGAACTATTACTTTTTACTATTAATAGATACTTTTTAGGAGATTTGATAGAATTTTTGGGAGGGGACGCCATATAAGGGGGGACCCATATAACATTCATAAAATAAATTTTAAAAAATAACAGGTTGATCTTGCGACACAACTGAATGGCATAAGTCAGAGTTAATATAGGTAGTATCCAAAACCTTTATATATAACCTAACATGTATCTCAAAGTGTCAATGAATGTAATTCAACTATAATATTGAGCTGACAAAAAAACACATATATTCAAAATCAATAGTATATTAAAATTACAATGAACAGTGAATTACAGTTGTATTAACTTACAAAAGCAATTATATTATGAAGCTGAGCACTTGTAGCAGCCTACAAGATTGAATTATTTAACTGTCTATGTTCATTAATAGAAATCAAAGGGTCACAATATTTTAACAATTCACCTAAAATATGTATTAATATTTAAACATTTACATTGAGTACAATTTTGTTGTTATGCTATATACATCCAGGAATTAATTGTGATGCATCAGATTCTTCTGCATGATCATACAATTTCATTCATTCATCTATAAGTTCAGTATGATATCATAAATAAAAGTTATATTTACTATTAATATAAAAACATAAAACAATGAACGCTTAAACTGTAGCCAAATATGATCTTAATATATACAAATTTAACTCTATTATAAATCATAATTATTTCTTTTTTAAATTCTGTATAATGTGAAATTATTTTATACATGTACTAGTTATAAAAAATTAAAAAATTACATTTTTAATTATTAACATTAAATTATGGTGAGAAACTCAGTATAAATTTCTCAATTGATCACCAATACTAAACAAAAAAAAATGTATGATCTGTGTCAATCATTCATAAAAATTTGTGATTTTATAATAAATATTATAGGTTTTAATAGTTATAATATTTTGATCCATTATTAAAAATATATAATAGAATACTAATAACAAATTCTTTCTAATTTATTTTTAGACACAATAAATTCTTCAGTTTCTCTAAAATTTTCTTATTAAGTACTCTCTAGATTCATCATTAGTATCTGAGCTTGCAGTATCTCCTATTTGAACATTTCTTGATCAACAATTTGATGACTTTGAATAGAATTTGAATCACTTTCCAATAACATGTCTTGTCAGGACCTTGTTGGTTAGATCTAAAATACTATTAGCTCGACTTTCAAGTCCACCTCTCTTAAACATTTCCCTAAATTGTTTTTAAAAAAATGTTTTTTTTAATCATGGCAATTAAAAGTAGGAATGAATCTAGTTAACTTCTTAAATAAAATATTTTATAAAAAAATAATCTGTGTACCTACTTTGTACATATTATATATATTATTAAGTAATAATCAAGATATAAATACAAATTGTATAGGTAGCTTTTGATCTCTACCTACCTAATAAAATATGAAGTTGTGCAAAAAATCTAGGTATTTTAAGTGGAACAAAATAATTATCAATCATTAATTAAATACTTACCAAGGTGGCATTAAAAAATAAAATGTATGAAAATTACATTATTTTATACATATGAATATTATGGTTTACTAATGCTTGTCAAAAGAATGCAAATTAATACATTAGGAACTAAGCAGCATTATTTTACAAAAAAATGTGCCTAACAACATTAAACTAACAAAAATGCAGGTAATGCAATAACTCACAAAATATTTTAATTATGTGATTCAATTCTGTAAGGTCTATGATATGCTACAGCATTTAAGAAACTTACCTCATATTTCAATAACTTGCTGCGATAATTATTTTTTTGAAAATGTTTAAAATATTGTGTAGGTACTATAATACCATATTGATGGTGTATGGCTATATATAATATGTGGTACTAACCAATAATATTACTTTTTATATTATGTGTAAAATAAACATATTGCTCTTTTTACCACTTGTTTTTTTTCCTAAACTCACCCTTAACAATAAGGTATATAAGAACTAGGACTGACCCTGATGACTAGTCCACTATTTTAGAGCTTTCACTTAATCCTATTTTTTAGTTTGTTACATTTTTGCTTAAGATCTCACTATAATAAACAAAATGCAAATGCAAATGTAATATAGATGAAAAAATATTTGAATGACTTAAAAATATTTTAATNCAATTAATATCCAAGTTTAATAAGAATTCTAAAAAGGTGTTGTTCATTGTAAAAGATGTTTTAAAGTAATGAGTGTTTTTGGATGTATACTAGAAATGTGCCAGATTGAATTTGAATTAAAAAATTATACCGTTTTTAAACACATTGACCTGGACCGTAAAATGTTTTTTGAGGACCCTTTATAGAAATAGCTGATGCGGCATTTTAGAGCTTGTACTACACTGTTTTTAACTATAAATATCAAAAGGAAATATTGATAACAACCATACTAACAACAAAATAAATTAATCAGTAACCGACCCCAAATAGTAGGGACGGAGGCAATTGGATACCAAATCTAAATTTTTTTTTTAATTAATTTACGAAATTTGTATAGATAATGTAAAATTTCATGAATGTACCCTGTCGAAATTGTCTAAACATACTTGAAACATTTTTTAAAGTGTCATAACATACTGCTATTGTTACAGATCTGTTTTGTACTCCAGGCACTTAAAAATGTGTACCTGGTTTTATGTAGTATTAAATTATAAATAACATGGTTATGCATTATTTTCACCAAATACATACGTATTATCAATGGCTGGTTCATCTTCACCCGAAACCATACTTACAGCAATTAATACTAGCAAACCGAATTTAAATTATTATGTGATTAAGAATGTAATCAAGTTGCTATCATAGTGTTGTGTATTTACTTATCTAAATGTAAATTAATGATATTAATCCGCCATTTGTATTTCATTCGGCTCTCTGTCCCTAGACGCTTTTATAAAAATCTAACTAAACTGAGATTTATTTTATACATTTTATTTTAAACGTCCCACTACACGTTTGTCGTAAAATAACAATTAGTGTGAAGTTTTGTTTTATTCTTATTAGATTCACAGTTATCAATGGGGGTGTACTGTACCAGTCCGCGTTTTCTAATCGTCATCCTACCCGACCCGTAGTCATGTTGTCCGCACTGTTTATTTTATTATTTTCACTTTTTGTATGTACTGTGTATATCTACGGTAGACACGAAATAATATTGGACGGACGCTTTATCGTTCGCCGTTCGGCGGTTACTATCGACTATCGGCCATATTGGTTGTTGGCATTTCGTCCTTTTGTAATCCTTGTGTCGTCATTTTCGTCCTACCCGTCCACTGGATAGCTGTGTCATTGAGGAATGGGCCGAGTATATTAATTGTTTATGGTCTTCCGTGCGTGTTCTTATTATTCACGTGTTAAATCAAGCCGCTCTTTTTCTCTTTCCATCAAACATTTTGATTTGAACTCTTTGTCCTTTTGGTAAGTATTTGACATTGTTATAGTATTATTAATATAATTGACTTTTTGTTGGTACAGCAGTCATTGTACATTAATTGATTATTATTATAGGTACTCTTATGGCCTTCTAACGACACATACATTTAATTAATATACTATAATATTTTTATTTATTTATTTATTTATATTTAATTGTGTAGATTTTTATTCTTATAAATCTCTAATTTAGATTAGTATATGGAAAAATAAAAAGGGTTGAGTTTCGCTCATTCTCAATATAGGTATGTGAGAATAATTTAAATGTATTACAAAAATCTATTGACCCAAACAAAATTATATTTTAAGGTTATATGTACGGAAAATAAAATGCATACAATATGTATGATTGTACTTGATATATTTAATATTTGTATTACAATTGCTGGAAGTGATTGTAAATATTGTTAAAAAAACACCTATATATATATATATATCTTCGTGAAAAAATATCGTACTTTGTGTTAATATTAACTACCTCGATAATTTCACGTGCATACAAACTATTCTAATTTAATTTGTTGTTTGTTGTAATGTGATAGATTCCTACAAAACTGAATGAACGTAAAACATGCCCATTGTTTCTTCTGACACTTGAAAACGTGATGTATTCAATGATATTGTCATTAACAAGAAAAAGGTGTCCTTATATTATTAAAAACAAAATGGATTATTATGGTAAATGGAAGATGTAAGTATTCTTATTTCAATATTGTACTCATATTACAACTGATTTAAATTAATTTTTTTTATTACAGCCATGTATTTAAAAGAAAAAATGCACAAGGTGTTGAAATGGTTAATTTTTTAGAAGATATAACTAAAATTTTAAAAAGAAATTAATGGCTATATCAGTATTTTAAACATCGGAAAAAACAAATATGAATGTGCAGTTCCGCCTTAAAAACTCTGCAAGTACTCTTTTTTGACCATAATGAAATACTATTAAAAAAAAAAAAGTTTGTAGAACGTCAATGCTGAATTAAAAACAAGAACAAGTTTAATAAATCCTGAAGTTTTAACCATTCCAAAATATCCTATATACAAATCACATGAATCTACAACACAATCAAGTGGTAGTTTTGTTGCCAAATTTGCTGTACAATTAAAAAAGGGATGACATTTTATAGTAGACTGTCCCAATGGCACTTAAACATCATGTCGGAGAACTGTGGATGTTGAAATCCTAACACAATAGAGTTGAATATTTTTAAAATCACTGTCTCGAACACCAAATAAACAAATAAATAATAGTATAGAAACAAATTGAATTAAAAAAACTAAAGTGCACGATAAACTTTTTGAAAGACTTAAATGATGTACAAGAAATGGCTTATGGCAGAGATGTAAATCAAGATACACAGCCATGCTCTTGAATAATATATACCGAAAATAAAACACAAAACTTTAGATAAATCTTTCAATGAAATTTCACAAATTGTCTAGAGTGCTACAATAAATATTAAAACTTTAAAAAGATCAGAGTAATAATTTTGTTGGTAGAAATTATATTAATGGTCTAATTAAAAATGTTAATGGTACAGTAAAATCAAAAAAAAAAATATCCTGTACCAATAATAATACTGTTTGATTTGTTTGTCATAAATTTACTGGCTGATTTGAAAGAATTAGACAAAGGAACAATTAAAACAACTGAAATATATAGTGAAGAAAAACATGCTAGAGAATTAATTATAAAATATGGCACAATCATTGCACTGAAACTCAATTGTTTGTTTAACTAAGGAGCAATCAAGTTCTGTTATTGATTAGATCGAAAATCAAAAGGAAAACTGCTCACAGCATAGTACAGAAGTTGAGTGGCTTTTCAATAAATTAGTTCTTACAGATCATGCAAAATATATGAAAGAAGGTAATGAATATTATTCAATTATAATTATAAAAAATATATATGATGTATAATCAAAAAGTATTGAGACTGATAATATTACTCAAATGTCACCCAGTCTTCTATGACTTACTGGGATCATTTATTCTTGAATAATCTATATAAACTTCTTTGTTTAGATTTCACCAATTTTTTTGTAAAATATGTTTTTGAGTTTGATGATTTTGTAATGAATCCTAATGAAGAGCGAATTGACAGTTTTTGAGAATTTAGAAAATTTGTTTGCATGTTTTTGTTAGTTTCAGAGAGATGCAACATTATGTGGTTTATGATAATAAGTTTCAATTGAAAAACTGCAGATGCACTGTCAAGTGCATCAACCAGTTTCGCTTCTTTTGGATTTATTAAAAAATCGCCAAATTTAAAAATCCATTTTACAATAATATCAGTGAAATCAAAACTAAGAAGATTATAGAGATTCTTCAAGAATAGATGTGCTCAATAGAATACTTTATGATTAGCTCTCCTATATGTATATATGTTTAAATTTCTATACTTAATAAATATGATATTCACTATTCGTTCTTGCTCATTTAGTTTCATATTAGAGTACAAATAAATCTTAGGTTTAGACTGGATGTGAACAAAATTGTATAGGCTTCCTTGTTTTCTTTTTTCATGATTCTGTTATCAAATAACTAGTTATATTGTGGAAGTTGATGTTTTGCTTTATTTTTAATTGTATAATGTTTAAATTCATTGTATCACTTAATGGTGGGATGTGGAGTGGAGTAGTACATTCAATACATGAGTAGTATAATTATTCTTTTACCTCCCTCCTCCCAACTGCTTCTGAGTGTGCTGTGCCTAAATGAGTAAATATGAAAGCTCAACTATGAACACAAACCATTTTGGTAATATTTATTTTCAATTTCTCTATAGGACTTCAAATAAATGCATAGACTGTAAGCCAAAATTCCGCCATAAGTCTTATTTAATTTTATCATAATCAGCATCATCTGGATTTAATGTTGTGATTCCCTTAGGAAATAACAGATTGTTAATTTTATTCACTTTATTTATTAATATAAATGTTAATTTTTTTTTTAATTTTTTGCAGCATAAAACTTACTGGGAGGCCAAGAAAATTATCCAATATTGACACATATAAACATACACAAGTAAAATTAAGTTTTAGTTTATTTATTAACTCCATTGTTAAGTAAGATTTTTTTGATTTGTTTCCTATAGGGATAAAAAAAGAAAAGTTTTCTCTGTTTTTGTTTTTATAAGAATGATTGGATAATATTTATTATATTCTGCATGCTCTGTAAGAGCTAATTTATTGAAAAGCAATTCATCTTCTGGCTCATGCTGTTGTCACTTTTCCTTTTGATTTTCAATCTCATCAATAGTAAAATTAGATTGTTCTTTAGATAAACAATTTAGTTTCAGTATCATTTTTGTACCATATGTTATAATTAATTCTCTTACATGTTTTTCTTCACTATATTTTTCAGTTTTAATTGTTCCTTTGTCTAATTCTTTGATATCAGCCAGTAAATTGATGACAAGTAAATTAAATAGTATTATTATTGGTACTGGATTTTTTTTTGAGTTTGCTGTACTATTAACACTTTTTATTAGACCTTTAATATTATTTCCATCGACCAAACTATTACTGTGATCTTTTTAAAATTTTAATATTTTCTGCAGCACCCTGGACAATTTGTGAAATTTCATTTAAAGATTTATTTAAAGTTTTGTGAGTTGATTTTCTGTATATATTGTTCAAGAGAATGGCTGTATATCTTGTATTTACATCACTGCTAATACCTAGCTCTTGGACATGTTTATAGTCTGAACAATTTTACATGCACTTTAATATTTTTAATTCCATTTGTTTCTATACTATTATTGTTTTGTTTATTTGATGTTTGACATATTGATTTTAAATGATAGTCCATTTTATTGTATTGGGGTTTCATCATTCACAGGTCTCCTACATAGTGTTTAAGTGTCTTGGAATAGTTTATTATAATGTGTCGTCCCTCGTTTAAGTGTAAAGCAAATTTAGTAACAAAGTTATCACTTGATTTTGTTGAAGATTCACAGGATTAGTAGATAGGATTTTTCGGAATGGTTTAAAAGATAAGAATTCATTAAACTTTTCATTTTTTTAAATCTGACATAGGCATTTACAAACTTGTTTTTTTTAATAGGGATGTCATTTTGTTCAAAAAAGAGTAGTTTTATAATTCTTTAGGTGGGGCTGTATGTTCATCTTTTTTTTTTCATTGTTTTAAAATATTTATATTGCTATTAAAATAGTAAATAACATTTTCTCTGTCTTTTGTTCATTGTGTCCACAAGCTAACATATCCCAAAACCAGTAGTTATGTTTTTCGGAGAAATATGTAATTAACGGTTTTGGTGTATGACATATGGAATGTTCATGGTCAACCTGAATGACTGACATAAGAAATGTTATTCATTAGTTTTTTAAACCTTTTTCTAACTTTATTACAATAGTAGAGTGTCTCCATTATTTATCAACATAATTTTTTTTTAAATTGTAATTATTATCTAGATCCAACCACTTAAAATACATTTTATTGTGAAATTAGTTTTTTTTGTAATCTCTTGTTCTTAAAAATATGTTAAAATTATTTTATTTAATCTATCTTTTATTTGATAAGTTATCAGATTTGTGTTTAAAATCTTTGTTTTTATAAATACATCTATAATCCAATTTGGTGTATACCTTTCACTGAATGCATGCTTATATTTAGCTATTTTAACTTTAAATAAATTTATTTTTATTTTTTGATTTGTTTAACTTCAATAATAATTCATGTTTTTTCTAGCTTCAAGCTGTGTAAATGTAATCATTGATTGTTTAGTAATAAGTAATTTNTACTATTAAGTAAGTATATATTCTTACTATTAAGTAAGTATATATTATATTAAGAGGTAACATTCTGATTGCCTACACCAACACTATTAAGTAAGTATATATTATATTAAGAGGTAACATTCTGATTGCCTACACCAACAGTGAATCACTTTATTTTTTTCCGATTTTTTGTAAATACTGACGTCTAGATATTCACCGAATCCCCTCTACTCGTTATACTATTAAGTAAGTATATATTATATTAAGAGGTAACATTCTGATTGCCTACACCAACAGTGAATCAATTTATTTTTTTCCAATTTTTTGTAAATACTGACGTCTAGATATTCACCGAATCCCCTCTACTCATTATACTATTGAGTAAGTATAGATTAAATTTAAAACAAACTAACTGGTATTTACATATAATATTTAATATAATAATATAAAAATTTGGAAGTTTCACAATTGTATAAATATGGTGGGAGATGAAATGATTTCTATCAATTTATTAATTAATACATTATTCTCTGCCTACAGCTATTATTGTATTAAACACAAAATATGTCAGTATTTAGAGATTTTTAAGTGCTCTGTTTCTGTTCCCTCAATAACAGACGGTGTCAATAGAAATATTTATGATGTTCTCTATTTTGAATAGAAACACATTTTGATATTTTTTAAAACACTGTCTACTATTTTGGATAATAAAAATATATTCATATTAGAATATTTTAATTTTAAGTGCATGGTGGTAGCAAACGGAACTTTTTGAATTTATCGAATTTCGTACTAATGTGTATTAGATATAGTAAAGGTATCATAATGATACCATGAAAATTCGATTGTAGGGCATATAAACATAAAATACTGACATTTAGACATTTCCCGAATCCCTTCATATCTCAATTTCACCTGTATTCTATCAAGTATACCGGCTGTATTCGCTTCTGAGAAAACTAACATAAATGACAAAATGACATATTTTATTTTTACAAATAACTATTTTATTTAATATGTACAAATAATATATTTTTATTGAATCCAAGTGACTATATCGTAATTTTTTTTATTACGCAATATTATTAACGTGACAGTTGATATAAGAATCAAAGTGAAGCAAGGAATGTATTTTTTTTAAATTGTGTATTAGTTTTTGTTAATGAGTTTAACTGAATTCGTATTTTGCATTTATATAATAAATTATTTTATTTAATATGTACAAATAATATATTTTCATTGAATCCAACTGACTAAATCGTATTTTTTTTTATTACACAATATTATTAACGTGACAGTTGATATAAGAATCAAAGTAAAGCAAGGAATGTATTTTTTTTTAATTGTGTAATAGATTTAGTTAATGACTTTAACTGAATTCGTATTTGCATTTATATAATACATATTATATTATTTTAATATCAAGAGACTATAAAATAAAAGAACAAAAAAGAACTATAACGTAAAACAATATGTATGTGATAATGAATATGATTAATTTGCTATCAGAGTAATTGTGTATTTTCTTATCTAAATGTAAATTAATGATAATAATCCGCCATTTGAATTCCATTCAGTTTAACTGAATTCGTATTTTGCATTTATATAATATATATTATATTATTATAATATCAAGAGACTATAAAATAAAAGAACAAAATTAACTATAACATAAAACGATATGTATGTGGTAACGAATATGATTAAGTTGCTATCAGAGTAATTGTGTATTTTCTTATCTAAATGTAAATTAATGATAATAATCCACCATTTGATTTCCATTCGGTTCTCTGTCCCTAGACGCTTATATAAAAATCTAATTAAACGGGGATTTATTTTATACATTTTATTTTAAACGTCTCACTACATATTTGTCGTAAAATAACAATTGGTATGCAATTTTGCTTCGTTCTTATTAGGTTCACTGTTATTAATGGTGATATATTGTACCAGTCCCCGTCTTCTAATCGTCATTCTACCCGACCGGTAATCATGTTGTCCGCACTGTTTATTTTATTATTGTCACTTTTTGTATGTACCGCGTATACCTACGGTAGACACGAAATAATATTGGACGGACGCTTTATCGTTCGCCATTTTGCGGTTTCTATCGACTAACGGCCATATCGGTTGTCGACATTTCGTTCTTTGTTAATACTTGTGTCGTCATTTTCGTCTTACGTATTCAGTGTGTGGCCGAGTCATTGAGGAATGGGCCGAGTACGTTCATTTTGTTGTCCTCCGTCTGTCTTATTATCCACGTGTTGAATCAAGCCGCTTTTTTTCTGTTTCCATCAAATATTTTGATTGGAACTCTTTGTTCTTTTGGTAAGTATTTGACATTGTTATTATATTATTAATATAATTGACTTGTGGTTAGTACAGCGGTCATCGTACGTTAATCGATTATTATAATAGGTACTCTTATAGCCTTCTAACGACATATGCATTTAATTAATATACTATATTATTTTTATTTATTTATTTATATTTAATTGTATAGATTTTTATTCTTATAAAACTCTAATTTAGATTGCTATACGGAAAAATATAAAGGGTTGAGTTTCGTTCATTCTGAATATGTGAGGATAATTTAAATGTGTTACAAAAATCTATTGACCCAAACATCATTATATTTCAAGGTTATATGTACGGAAAATGAAATGCATATAATAGGTATGCTTGTACTTGATATATTTAATATTTGTATTACAATTGTTGGAGGAGATTGTAAATATTGTTAAAAAAATACCTATTTATACCTTTGTGAAAAAATATTGTACTTTGTGTAAATATTAGCTACCTCGATAATTTCGCATACAAACAAACTTGTAATTGTAAAACATTCTAATTTAATTTCTTTGCTGTCATGTGATTGATACCTACAAAATTGAACGAATATAAAAGCTGTCCATTGGCTATGTCGAGCAATTTAAATAAAACCAAGATAAAGATATATTACAGTACCTTTGGCTTGAATTTCAGTTTGGTAGATCGTATACAATATTAGGTATAATTAAAAAATAAAAATAATCACCGTTCAATAATACCTACCTCAAATCTTACATGTTGGATTATTTTTAATTTAAATTATACCAATTACCTACCTACCTATTTGTGTCATGTGTTAGTCCTGAATGGATTTATTTTAATTTGTTTTCTCCCTTGGTTATGCTTCAATTTATTTACAACACAGGTTTGATTATTTTGCTACATATCAATAGTGGTCAAAACGTGATTTCGTTCAACTATACCAATGGTTGAGTTTGGAAAATCCTGACGTAGTGTTTAAAAGAGGGCTTAATATATCGCGACACGTGTGATTTCACTTTTCAAAAATAAGTTTATGAATACAGCTGGAAAAATCAAAAGATGATTTCACTGAATTACCACCACAGTCGGATTTCCTTTCAGAAAAAGTGCTAAATAATATATTTTCATTGAATCTAAGTGACTATATCGTAATTTTTTTTACTACGCAATATTATTAACGTGACAGTTGATATAAGAATCAAAGTGAAGCAAGGAATGTATATCAAAAGATGATTTCACTGAATTACCACCACAGTCGGATTTCCTTTCAGAAAAAGTGCTACACTTGAAAATCTTAGTGAAATTGCTGGTAAAAAAGTTTTTCACAGATAATATAAAAACATTGTAAAACCAATACATTTCTCGCTCCATTTAAAAAACTTAAATTTCTTAGAATCTATATAATTCTAAATAATTTTCATGACCTATCATTAATTGATTTGGGACAAACCAGTGGGTTGCGACCCACAGTTAATTATCATAAAATCCAAATTTAGAATTTATGTTTTACATCAATATAATTAAAAAAAAGTATCCATTTAGTAATAATGTGTAGCAATAAAAAGCAACAGTGTGTAGTGTTTTAAACAACCTTTTTGAATGTCCTGAGCTTTTGGCTGAAATTGGTTTTCGTATACCTAGTAGAAACACTACTAGAGGTTTAAATTTATTCATAATTACTAATTATAATATTAACAATGGTAATAATACATTTTTTAAAGAGCTTTTGTTTTGTTTTATTAAAATTTCCACCAAATTAGAGATGTTTGTACTTCCCAGCAATATTTTCAAATTTATTAAATTTTATTAATATTTATTTTGATATAAAAGTATTTAAATTTGTCTTTTAGACTTATTGTTCAAAATGTTACAATAATTGATTAATCATGTAAAAAGAGCATTTGTCAATATGTATATATATATATAAATAAATAACGTAATTAGAATAAAAATATAACAATTTTAAATGTGAATATTGGTACCTACTAATATTTGTTTAAAATTTAATTATTTTTTTTTTGCATGCATTGCCAAACAATATCACCATAATATTTAATAGTGCTGAAATAACGAAAATTATAGTTGTCAAAATGAATGGAACTATTTTCACTATTATTTGAAAAAGTTTAAATACTCTAATNAATTAGAATAAAAATATAACAATTTTAAATATGAATATTGGTACCTACTAATATTTGTTTAAAATTTAATTTTTTTTTTTTTTTTTGCATGCATTGCCAAACAATATCACCATAATATTTAATAGTGCTAAAATAACGAAAATTATAGTTGTCAAAATGAATGGAACTATTTTCACTATTATTTGAAAAAGTTTAAATATTATAATATTTATTTTATTTTAAATGTCACATGGGATGGTTCAAAGACTGAAAGCCGATTAAAAACTCACTATAAATTTGTACATTGTCACCACACCTGGAAAACCTAAAAAAGACAGGATTTAAAATTGGTCAGGAAAGTCAGGGATTTTGATATTTTTCTGGAATTTAAAAATTAATTTCTCAATATTGATTTTCAGAAATGTCAAATGTTTACAGTCTATACTATTATCAGATTAATACCACTGACTAAATATAATTCAATATGTTCCTTTTTGAAGCAGTCAATGTACCTAGAAATAAAATACGTTTTTTTTTTTTTTCATTTAGGTAAAGGATTTTATTTTGTGTTAAGGTATTTACTTGATTTATATTAATTGTGAACCAATACCAAGTTTTGTTATTATACAGGGTGTCCCACAAGGATTCGACAAATGCAATAACTTTTGTTCTATTCAATATTTTTGATGTATATTTTTTTTTAAAATAATTAGTATGCTTCAGCGCTTCATTTTATGTGTAGATATTTTTTTTTAAACAAATTCAAAATAGCCGTTTTGT